TGGCTGTCCCCAGCGACACCTTTATGGGACAAGGTGAAACATCGCAAGCCCCAAAATATTCTTCTTTCAAATGTCTGCCTTGTGAGCAGCCTTTATTTACAGAGCAACTCCAGTCAAGTGGAAAATGAGACTTCTCCCGGTATACCTCCGTATCTGAAATCATTATCAGAAGGTTATCAAAATGCTTGAATTTGGAGTCATCTTTGTGCTACATAAAGCGAACTAGCATTTTGATAGAAGCAGTGTGGATGAAAGTTAAAATACTAAAAAGGGTTAATTTTCTGTTGCAAAGAGAAGGTTCTGGGCTGTCTTGGTTGTTTGTTTTACTATCTCTGAAGGTTTTGTGAGGAAGATCCACTTCGAGCTGTTCAGCTCAACTAAAGAAGGTAGACCTTTTGCTTGGTCTTGTGACATTTCATGGGAAATACTCCAGTCAGCGTGACGTGACAAACAGTCTCTGTTTTCCTGCTGATATTGCACCAGTGCAATAAAGCAATCTTTTCTATGAAATACATACAAGAATCCTGCCCCCCAAATGACACCCTGGCCATGTGATGGGAGGGAATGCATGGTGACACTTTCATGTTGGGAATATAATGAATATCTTCACTTTGCCTGGAAGTAGCTCCCAGAAAAGCCATATTAAACAGTGGTGACTAAACAGTAATCCAAAGGCCGCAGTGGCTGCTGTGGTGTGGGCTGGTGCAGCTCAGCAGGTTCCCCAGTCCCTGCAGGAACCAGGAGTCTGGAGGCTCCCAGGCAGCCCCTCCACAGGGGAGCTGTGTTCTTGTCCCCAAGTGTCACTGACACAGCAGATGCCACAGCCGGTCCTGCTGCTGGAAGGGGCCTGCAAGGACAGCAGCTGAGAATGGATGGTTGGAGAAGCGGAAATGTCACCTTTCCCTGCACTTGGCATGTGTGCGCTGTTGATGAACCATTAAAAACTGCCCTGGGGTCGCCAGGTGTAACAAGGAAGGGCTACTGAGTAACACGGTGTGTTTTAACAGACAGATTGTTGCCTCTCTAGATAATATTTTACTTCTGGTTTGAAGTTTTTGCTGTCCTTGCATGATGTTACCCTGTAATAAACTGTTCTGTCATGCACAGAAAATGTTCAGGGAAGGACGTGTAAGAAATCACGGGAAACAAGCTTTTAAAATCCTTTAATTCTCAGTTCCCAGAAACTCTGAGGCCTCGCAATGAGCTGTGCTGTAAGTCATTGACACTTCAGCCTATCTAAAATACGTACCTCACTGAGAAATAGGCTCTTGTGAAATGTGCAGGAGAGCGCTGTGGACCAAAGTCCTCAGCTCCTCTCTGCAGCCAACGTGGGGGTGATTAGCTGTGAAATTTTCTTTTCCCTTTGCTGCCCATGAGCCTTGGCTCTGGCCCTGGGAAACCTGTTCAAGAGGAGTACAATTCAGGTCACAACTTGGCAAGCCCCTCACTGCATTAGGACTTTGGTTTCCAGGTTCAGTGGGGGTAAAACTTCACCTCTCCCATGTAGATGTGGCAGCCCTCTGGTATGTGGCTGTTGTGCAAAAATAGGCAATATGGCATTATCTTGATCTCTTTACTAGCAGGTCTCTCTCTGTGCTTCTCTCTTTACCCTGCTGAGAACACTGACCTGTGCTGGGGGTAAATTAGGAAGAAAAAAATAGGTTCTGGACCAGACTCCTGGCAAAATCCACCTCCCATCTCCCCTGAGGGGTAAAACAGCGGAGTATGGGCAGCAGCAATTGTGATTCCTGCTCCACCACTGAACTCAGCAAGGAACTGACACTGGAAAGGGGATTGGGAGACTGAGCAAGAAGTGAAGAAGCAAAGCTCCTCCAGGGGCTGGGAAAACTGGAACTACCCTGCAGTCTGAAAGGGAAACAAGCACATTGTATGTGGTTGGATTAATTTCTGGGCTTCACTACATGTATACACAATGAGCAGGTAATAATTCATTGGGAAACAGGGTCAGCTCTGTGGGTTAGGAAACCCCAAAAAAATTCCTTAGAAAGGGCATGAGGAATTTTCCTTGATAGGAGTCTGCTCCATCTGAAGGAGGAAGCGTGGAATGGGATGAAGGAAGTGTCCCATATCCAGCCACACGTGCCACTTCTCCACAGCACAGGGCAAGAGTGACCTCTGGCAAACAAGCATGCAAGACTGTCTTCTAGGGTTAATAAGTACAATGGGGAACGGTCCTTTCACATCCAGCTTTATCCTGCAAGGCACCACCCCTCGTGATTTTCCAAGCAGAAAGGCAATGGGAACAGCGGCTCTGGCACAGCGTTGCAGGGCTTCACAGGATTACTTATTCAGTGTGCCTGGAACAGCTCCAGGCTTCCCCTCTCTGTCTCCAGTGTACAAATTCATCAGATATCCACAAGGCTCACAATCCCTAGAGGCAAGAGAAGACAGTAGGAAAGGGATTCATACTCCAAATCACTGTCTCCGAAGGACCTGCGGGGCTCTGGAAAGACTGAACCGGTATCCTCCTTTCTTCTACCTCCCTAACGCTTAGTCGGGGTAATTAAGGCAGCAGTCAGTCTGGATGGATTTCGTTGCCGGGGCCATTGGAGGTAAATACATAAGTAGTGCTTGTTGATGAAAGCAGATCGCTGTTTCCTTCTTGTCCAGCTAAGGACAGGTCTCATTGGCAGAGCTGAGAGTCTTTCAATGGGGGCTTGTTAAAACTGCATTCTTTGCTAAATGGAAAATGTCATCCAAGCAGGTTCACAGACTCACTGGAGAGGCAGTGCTGCAATTTGGTCAGCTGAGGTCATCACCCTGCAGTCTCCTCCAGTCTAATTGTAGTGGATCAGGGCAAAACTCTGGAAGAGACAAAGTGAAACATGCTGTGTGCAGACACAGATGGGCTGGTACTGCCTGGAGAGCAAAACCTCATGTGTCTGATGCCTGGGGGTGCTGGTAGGCTGCTGGGGTCATGGCTCTGGAGGGCTGAGGATGGGAACTGTGGGACAGTAGGGGAGGAAGCATGACTTTGTTGCAGTGAGGAAGGTCTGAATGAATGACCTTTGCATTATCTTGGGTTAAGATGTGTTTGCAGTTGTGATAGTGTCATGCAGGCATGCTGCGGAGCAGGCTTTGATCTGGGAGAAAGTAGGTTAGTTGTAAATAAAAAAAGTGAAAGGAGAAAAGTGTGATTTAATTCCAGCCGTTTTCAGCGCATGTGCTGCTCAAACCCAGATTTGCTTTAAACAACAAAATATAGCCACTGGTTTAATTTCTTTTTTAAATCTTGTCAGATTAATGGAGTATCAAATACCAACACAAGAGCTTTGGCATTGCTGCCAGAAAGGCCAGGTAAACCTGAGACACCCAGTCCAAGCCTGGATGTCTGATCTCGCTTTGAGATCGGCTGGAATTTGGCAGTTTCCTTCACCAGGAACAGCAGCCTGTGGTCCTGGTGCAGATGTGCGTTTCCTGGAAAGCATTACGATTATTTTTACCTTGCAGTCCCTTACTGCTCATCACCCAAAATGTGCAAGTGGGGCAAGGTCTGGTGTCTCAGCAGCATCCAGCCCCGGAGGTGCCTATTGCTTGGGCTGTTGACTTCCCTGGGGTACTGGGGGACCCTGCTTGGCAACAACCTTTCATGGGAGAGGGGGATACAATTAGCCCCTCCATGACAGCTTCCCTTTCTCCTCCTCTTTCCTTACTGACCTCAGAACACCCAGCGGAGATGGGAGCCCTGTGTTGGGGCTCACAACTGCATGTCCATCCTGTAGGGATTCACCAAAACTCCTCTGAGACTTCATGTTAATGGTGGGGCAGTGATGATTGCATTCACTGTTTGGACTCCTTTCCTTTTGTGGGCACAGCTGGAGCTGGGTCACTTAAAGATAATCTTGTTCTGCAAGAGAATATGGAAAGCTGAAAACACAGTTTCATAGTGACAGCTCACCTGAGCATTCTGTCCCCACTTCCAGGCAAAGCCATGGGTTGTGTGGTGCCCCCCATCCTGGCACTCGCATCATGTGCTACCCAGCCATGCGGCAAGCATCTCCCATGGGTGCCCTGGAAACAGGTTCAGCCTGGGAGGATGCCAGCTGGGAAGCTCCAGTGAGGACCAGAAATGTCTGCATGTTTTAAGGCACTTTACTGATCTCAGGGTGTCACAGAGAAAGATTTTTTATCCTGTCATTTGTGTTCAGCTCATGGCTTTTCTAAGAGGGTTAATGCAACTTTCCTCTGGCAGAAAGAGGTGTTTTCTGGAATACTGGTCCCTGCTGGGAGCTTGCATATAAACATGTGTGAGGTACCTGTACAGGGCTTTAGGGCCATGGTCCCTACCCCACCACAGGACAGCTTCCTGGGATGGGACAGCTTTCCTGCAAGAACCGGGATGTTTTTGGTGCTGAGCTTATTTCATGGCTTATGTTAGAGCTGAAGCAGTTTTCATGTTCCTATAAGGGCTACAAACCCAGCTGAAGTGCATCAAACAACTCAAAAGGCAACACAGATAATAACAGGGTTTCTGTTTAGTAAATTACATTCTTGTGACCTTGACCTGTTTTCAGAGGGTTTTAGAAAAAGTGTGGCTTAAAGCACCCCTGATAAATGGCTGAGATGCTGCTTGTTTTAATCCCATGTAACTATCCAGCCTGGCTCAGGCATCTCCTCCACAGAGCTATTGCTTCTGTGGCCATGGGATAACCTCAGCATCTTCAGCCCAAGAAACAGTGACCTGCTGTGAACCCAGATGGAAAAAAAACCATGAAAGAAACATGCTTAATGACTGTGGAAACTTTCAGTGACCACCAAATGGGCCTGCATGTTGCAGAAAGCAGCTAATCTGTAAGGATGTCCTCCTTGGCCAATAAAGCTGAGCAGGAGATTGGACTAGAAACATCAAGAGATCCCTTCCAACTCAGTTTTTCTTATGATCTCATGTATGTTCTAGCCCTGCTGTAGCAGCAGCCTGAGTCAAGACAGGTGATTGATATTGATGATTAGGGCTATTTATGACTAGGAGATGACTTGACCCTTATGCCAGGTATAAAGAATTGGGAAGGGGATACTGAGGTTTACCCAGTGGTTTTAGGGCAGCAGGGTCTGTAGCACGCCCAGGCTTTTCCCCATCCTGCTGCAGGGTTACATACCCAGTCACATGCAGTTCAAGGATAGATAAAATAGTCCACTTATGGAGGGAACATGCTGTCTTGTCCATGCAACTAAAGCAGCTCCTACTGGACACTGCCAGGGTCACATTACTGGATGGAGTTCAGCTTCCTTAGGGTATGGGGCACTTCTTATGTTCTCAGCTCTTCAAAGAAGTTTGAAAGCTGTTGTCTACCCATCCAGCATATGGACCATTATTCCTGCTTCTCTGTGGGTCTCTCAGCCATGGGGTTGCCAACAGCTGGGAACTGTGGCAGCCTGCTGGGCTGCTGCTTGCTCTCTGCTGATTGCCATTGTGGTGGTCACCATGTCAGGATCCCTTCTTATTTGAATTGCCTGGTTGAAGACACCTGATTCATGAAAGGATGGTGAGTAGCCGAGTTTTGTACCTGTGCTCTGTATGTGTGTGTTTGTAGGGGATGCCGCAACCTCTGCACAGTACCTGAGAACATCTCAGATAAAGTAGGCATAAAAAATATCTCACTAAACCCCAGAAAGATCATTCACCTGATCTTGGTAGTTATTTTTGTCACAGCTTGTGCAGTGTTACTCAGCAGGAGTCCCACAGGAACCCTCCCCAGTATGCATGCTATACATTGCTGGTCTTACTCGATTCTGCTGTGCAAACAGGGCATGTGTGGGTCATGCTATCTTCGTCCTGGGCTATTTATACTCTGTGAAATTGTGCAGAGCCCTTCCTTGGCCTTTGATGGACTTGGCTGAGCTCCTCAGCTCTGACAACTTAACTGCTGAGTGCTTTGGCTCTTACAGAGTTTGGTTCATGGCAGGCGGTGGTTGTTTAGAGGTTTGGGGGCTCACTTCTCCACTTTGGTGGCAGCACCGAAAAACTTATCTTTATGGCCTCCTCTCAAGAGGATTTTGATCTTTGCTGGAACCAATCTGCATGGAAGCCCTTAGGACTGAGAAGCAATGGGAAACAGCCTGGTTTGGGGCAAACCTGCTTTATTTTGTCTATGTTGCTGTTGTCTCTGCAACTTAATGTGTAAACCGGGCAATTTCTCCAGAAGGGAGGACACTTAGAATCACAGAATTATAAAACAATTAGGGTTGGAAAGGACCTTAAGATCATCCAGTTCCAAACCTCTGCCATAGGCAGGGACACCTCAAGGTGTCACCCAAGGCTCTGTCCAACATGGCCTTGAACACAGCCAGGGATGGAGCATCCACAGCTTTTTGTCAAAGGCTGATGCAATCAGCCCTGGTTCCTGATGTTCATGAGCCAAGGCTCTTGAGCCTGTGAGGCAAGCGAGGGTTGAGCTGTACGAGGCTCACAGTGACCCTGCTCATGTCTGGTCAGCTCATGGCCACTGCCTCTAAGGTTGAGGAAGGCTGAAGCTGACGCAATGCCAAATCATTCTGTCTGGGATAGGGTGCTTGGGCCAGGACACTGCACCTCTGAGGTCAGCGCTGTCACACTGACAGTGACTTTTGTACTGCTCTTCCCTGGCTGGCAGGGTCCATGTTTGCAGGCTGTCTCTGCCCGATGGCCGGGAATCCCAGACGGTGCAGGTGGCCCTGGGTGACTTTGTGCGTTGTCACTCTCTGCCCGGATCAGAAGCATTGCTCCTTCCAGCCATATTATTCTGCTGGTATATTCCCCCTCACTATCTATCTTCCAGCCTGATCTCCTTTTAGTTTTGAAATACAGAAGGTGGACCCGTTTTTCATCTTCGTTGCTGTTTATCTGGTGGCAGATTTGGTAGAGATTTTTGAAGAATAAGCCTCATTTTTCTGCAAGCAAGATACTGTTGGTTGTTTTCTCCTGAGTAATGCGCTTGGGGATCATCTCTCGGTGACTCACACCAGCAACTGCTGATTTTTTCCAAAACAAAGTAGAGCCTTCCAGAGCTCCCAAGCTGCCGTGTAACCACACATGAACATGCCCTGTGAAACGCTCATGGCTACCAATACTTTTCAGTATCTTGGGTTTTGTGTTTTTGTTTTTAAAAGAAGGACTCAATCAGAAGCAGTTTCCAACCTGTGAGCCACCGTATGTGTGCTGTATCTTTGACTGCCTGGGTCCCCATAGGGCTTATCCAGCACTTTTACGAACTGATCTCTTAAGTAACTCACATGGATGTAGCTCTGTCATCCCCCCAGCCTGATTTCCTCTCAGATGACTTTGTGGTTGATATACTAGGAGGAAGTTAGCTGGTCAGCCCCTTCATCATCTGTTGATGTACAATACAATAGATATGATATGAGATGCATTTAAACCAGAGATGGGAAACGCAGTGATGTAAGGCCAGGAATGGTGGGTGTTCTCTTTGTTACTGTGAGCAAGAGAAGTCCACATTGGAGCTCTTTTACTCTCCTTATCTGCCATTAAGGCAGTAACTTTGTCTCATGGGATTAACATATTTTCAGCTCCAGTGGCTATTTTAAGGTCTCAAAAGAAGACTGGGTATCAATAGAGGATTGACCCCCTCACATGCCGGACATGCCATCAGTGCTGCAGGTGGGGATTCAGCAGGTGTGCAGGCCATGCTGCCTTGTGCACACCCAGTGCTAATTCCTCACTGCCCCTTAATCCTGCTGATCCCTGAGCGGCAGAGGGCAGGGGGCACCGCAGACCAGCACCACTGGTTGTCACACCAGCCTGCCAGGGCTCCAGCAGCCTTTGCTTTTGTTCCTTGTTCTGCTTTTTGAAGCAGTGCTGCATACAAGAGATGAGATGTGCTCCGGAGGCTTAGTGCAGCATGGTGCCATTGACCCTAGTACCCAGTGAATTCCTCACCCAAGGTCCTACATGTGCTTTGTAAGCTTGAGCCAGGGCACATCCAGTCCCTGGCGTGCAGGAGGCAGCAGGAGTACCTCTTCTGACCTCCAGACAGATTGCTCAGAGCCTGTAATGTGTGAGGGTCATCCCTCTTTTATAGATGTCCTTGTGAGAGCTGCTTTTATTCCCTAACATTTCCAAGTTAATCATGGAGAACCAAAATTGCTCCAGAGACCCTCTTGTCTGAGTGGGGCGCTCTGCACCTCACATGAGGGTGCTTGCTCATAGTCCAAAGATGCATTACTCCCTAAGCTGAGAGAGGGAACAAAACCAGTCCAATATACATGTAATCCCTTCAACCTTCCTTCAGCAGTGCTATCAGTGTTTCTCCCAGTCCCAGCTTTCACAGTGGTGGTATTCCTCCTGATAAGTTTCCCATGACGCTCGGATTCCTCCTCTGAGCCTTGGTCTTGCAGAGAAATCTGCACACTCTGCTCTGTCATTCTTGGCCCAGGCGTCAGCGCTGGAGCTCGGGAGAGGTCTGGTGCCAAGCACAGCACGGCTCCGAGGCTGCATTTTTCTGTCATTCCCCTAATGCCTTTCTCTGACAGGGGAAAACAGTCTGTTGTGCCATGTGCTGTTAACCATCTCCTGCACGCTCTCTGTTTCAGGTGGTCTAAGCACAGCAGTGGGTTATCCGCTGGACACAGTGAAGGTACTTGTTAGAGCTTTATTTCTCGACTACAGATTGAAAACAAACAGGCCCTTTGGCTTTCCCCCTCGTTTTTTAAAAAATCTATTCCCATGACAATGCTTTCATTTTTGTTGACATTTCACTTTATTTGGTTGTGCTGCTTTTCTCTTAAAGAATTAAAAAAGTCAGTTGTTTGGTGATGCTATTTTATGGTTAATTGTCTGGTTTGCTGCTATGGCATTTGTTGATTGTATTTTTTTTTTAATCTGATATCTGCATTTTAAATTTGCCCCTGTATTTCTAGGTAAGAATTCAGACTGAGAGGCGTTACAATGGGATTTGGCACTGCGTTCAGGAAACATACAGGACAGAAAAAGTAAGTAGATCCCATCAGAATTTCTGATAGCAGTCATGGATCCTTGTTTGAGATAAACAGAGCTGCCTCTGCCAGCTTGGGAAGGATGGGCAGCAGTTGCATATGGTCATTTTTTGGGAGAAGGGTCAGGATGAAATTTAGCTTTGCCAATGATCTGTAAGATGCAAGTAACTTTTGGCTCAGCTATGTGTGGCCAGTAGATGCTTTCCCATGCCATTCCCTCTTAAAAGTGTTTTTTCCCTCTGTTTCCAACTAGGTTTGGGGATTTTACAAAGGTATGTCTGCATCAGTCCTCACGGTATCGGTGATCTCTTCTGTTTCATTTGGCATGTACAAAAACTTCCTTTGTGGCATCTGCAAGCTGCGATACGGGGCTGCAGATGTGAAGCCATCCAAGCTGGATGTTTTCCTTGCCGGCGGTGCTGCTGGTGCTGTCCGGGTACGTAAACAGCTGGAAGGGAAAGAACAAGAGATCTTGTTAGCAGACACAGGAGGCTGGAAAAGCAGTGAATGTCTGCTGTCCAGGAGGCTTTGTTTTCACAGGGGGGTCATGCTCTGCCCCCTCTCTGGTCAGCTCTGCCGCATGGCTGATTCCTGCTGTGCAGCTCGTGCTGGATTTGGTTTAGAGTGCCAAAACACTTAAGAGCATGTTGTTAAGAATGACATGGGCCTTGGCAGCACAGACAAGGACGTAAAAACAGCCTGGGCAGCAAACTTTCAAAGTGACTCTGATGGTGTGTTTGTATGCAAAACTTAACTCAGTGTGTTACAGCACAAGCCAGGCACGGTGTTGCTGTAGAAATGGGTGGTATGTAAGCTCTGCCTTGTCAGGACTCAGAACTCAGCAAGGCATCACTGAAAAGTGATGCTGCCTGGCAAATGTGCATGATACCAGGATAGGGAGGTGAGGCTGAATCCAGGAACAGTTTCCCATAAGCAGATGGATTTCTGTGAGCATCTGCAGATGACCCAATGGCATGCTGGGCAGAGATGCATATCCAGTCACAGGCAATCCTCTTACAGAGCAGTCCAGATGGTCAGGTTTCTAGGTGTTTCCTAGCAGGCAATGACTCTACACAGGCTAATTTTTTAAGTCTTTATGGCCTTGGTTCCAAATATAGATAGATACAAGAGCCCTGATGTATGTTACCCCATAGCTGAGGACATCCTCTTTTCATGCCCATCTGGTTTAACAAGTTGTTACAGGTATATGATACCTTCTGTTGATTTCTGCCTCTCCTTCCACGCAGCACAGTGCAGCTCAGACATTATGTCCTGCTGCTGCTGGGTGGGATTTAGCACAGAGAGAGGGAAGGAGGCTGGAACTCCCTGGCTTCAGAGAATATTATTGCCTGAAAAGGTGGGAGACAAGCAATTTGCAGGAGGGGGATCAAACCACTGTTTAAATGTGGAGGGTTAAAATACCATCCTCTGATGTTCCAGGTTCTATTTATGGCTCCTAGTGAAGTGGCCAAAGTCCGCATGCAGACTCAGAGGAACCCACATCCTTCCATCACATCTCCCCAACCTGTTTCCAAACCAAAGTACCGAGGATCTCTGCACTGCCTGAAGGTGATCGCCAAGCAGGAAGGTTTTGGGGGTCTCTACAAGGGCTGTTCTGCATTACTCTGCAGGGATTGCTTTTCTTCTGCAATATATTTCCTCACCTATTCTGCTCTGTGTGACTGGCTCACACCAGCTGGGAAAAATAAACCAGGTAGGCACCAGAAAGCATCTGGCATTACCCGCAAAAGTGGCTTATTTAGTACCACTCAGGCTCTCAGCAAAAATCAGCCAGTGTCCATAAAATCTCACCCAGATGTGATCTGTTTGCTTCTTGGTGCTACAGGGCCACTTTGCTGGCATGACCTTGCCCCTCAGCAGCTACTCCTCTCCATACAGGAGGGGTATTTATGGCATGCTCTGGTGCCTAGTATGTGGGTATGAAATCGTCTTAATGCAGAAATAGGACATAGGACTAGAAATGAAACGTGGTCAAACCTCCCAGGAGTCATCATGGAGCACAGGTCAGGATCAGTCCAGAAGTCCAGGGGCAGAATTAAAGACACTTCAGTTTCCTGGTTGTGATTTAGCTCTGAAAAAAAAACCCTGTCCACTTTGAGAAAATATCAAATAGGTGACAATTCTCCCTAAGAATTTTAAGAATCAGTAGATCCAGCTGAAGAGAGCGTGATCAGCTCTCAGGCTGCATCACATCTAATTCGTGCAGTGTTAAAAGCGCCATGTAGGCGAAAGCAAGCTGTGCAAACCACGGCAAAAATGCTGTGAAATCAAGAGGCACATGGTTTGTGAGATCACTGGAACTGGAAGAGCTGGGCAAAATAACTGCTGAAAACCACTGAAGTTAACATTAGTTGACAAATCTGAGATGCTTGTGGCTATATGAGTGCAAGGCTGGGAGTTAACTGCTCCTCCCTTCTCTCTCCTGCAGATTTCCTTGTTGTGCTGCTTTCAGGTGGTTTTGCTGGAGTCCTGGCCTGGGGATTTGCTACTCCCATGGATGTAATCAAATCACGGATGCAAACAGATGAATCGGACCAGCACAAGTACAAAGGCCTTGTCCACTGCGTTAGGGAAAGTGTGAGAAAGGAGGGTGCAAAAGTACTCTTCAAGGGACTGGGTTTAAACTGTATTCGTGCCTTTCCTGTGAACATGGTGGTGTTTGTAACGTATGAAGCTGTACTGAGATGTACAGATTATTATTTAAACAAAAAATAGCTTGTTCCACTCTATTCTGAGGTGTGTTTCATTTAGATTGTTTTTGTAACACGACATCCACAAACAGCTGCTGAATGCTGTCTCCTTTGATGGGCAGCATAAGAAGCATGGGCATTTCAGCACAAAGCTGGATAACTGACAGCTTTGTCCTATTCTTATAGGATTACAAACTCACCAGGGAGCCTTGGCCTTACAGACAACTTCCCTTTTATCTTGTTAATGTATTTAGACTGTATCCACTGCTTAGGCCCTTGAAACATTTGCAAATATTGATGTTCTAAAAGGCTGCTAGTCTGATTAGAGATTTTGGTAAAGGATTAATTTTGTTTTCTACTGGCACAGAAATAAATCCTCACAACCAAGGCAAGGGTCGGGGGCAGTCTGTGTAAGATTCAACACTCTTCAGTGTGTGCTCTTTACATATAATGCCTGTATCACATTCACTGAGTAACTTGCATATTTGTGCTTCAGGCTGCAGCTTTTCTTTCACAGCTATAATTCTCCCAAAGTACTCTACAATTATATCCCTTTGGTGGCAGCTGAAACATGACTCTTTTTGCTTTTTCCTGATGTTATTTAATGAGTGGCAGACACGTCCTGTTTACATAATCGTACTAATGGCCTCACTGAAAGTGAAGCCAGGCACAGTTTCCCATAAGCCATGTAATTTCTCCTTGTACAACCCCGAGCCCTACAGCATCGGTAACCCTACAGGCTGACAGTACTGCAGCTCTCCAGAGCTTGGCACAGCTTTGGAGACAATCTGTTCTGATCCTGGGTAGGAAGAGATGCAAAACCTCTTTGCTTCTCAAAGGAAGGCTGCCATAAAATCTCCGCACTAGCAAGTTAAGGAAAGTTGCAAAGTTGTAGAGTATAATGAAGATGTACAACTTTTAAAAGGTGCATACTCTTCTCCCTTTACACTATGCTGTCAGGAGCAGCCAAGTGTTTTTTTTTTTTGTCATGGGTATGTTTTGAAAGAATTTCTGACTTTTCTATCAGCTCTTTTTCACAAAGGTAGGAAGCTTCATCAACACATCACTTGAAGAAAACAACATCCACACTATTGCTTCAGAAGATAAAAACCCTAAACCCAGAAATACTTTTATTTGCTCATCCTGGTTCTAGATACAGCATGTATTTTCTGTATATGCTGTAATTCCTAGATGACACCATCTGGAGCAGACTGGACCCAGCTTCTGTCAGATTCTGCTGAAAGTGCATTTTTCAGAGGGAAAGAGGAAGCCTGTATTTTTAAAGGAGTTCTCACATTCAGGGTTGATGCCCTTCTGGCCCACGGCCACTTTTAACCAGTTAACATGGCTCTGACTACACTGACAGCAAATTTGCAACAAGCAGGACTTGTCAGCTACCCTGGATGTGTAAAAAAGGCTCTTGTGCTAGAACAAGTTTAAAAATCTCAGGTATTATTAGGAAAGAATAAAGGGAACCTCTTCAGCTCCAGACAGACCAATAAAAAGCTCCAGAACTGTCCTTCTGAGATTTAGGCCTTCAACTGGCTTTTAAAACAGGCTCACAGACATGTTATCCACCAGTCACTAAACTTGAGTCTACCCAGACCTCGCAGCTGATCCAACAGGAGGGTTAAAACACCAGGCAGGGTCTCCTACCCTCACCTCTTTCTGCAAGGGATGCATTTCACTGAGTGCTGTCCCACCTGTGCCTGGTTGTTTTCTGGAATCAAACTCCGTTAAGCTGTATTATTCTCAGCCAACCTTGTTCTCAGGCATCATGTCCTTTGAACAGAGACAGTTACAACATGCTTGCAAATCAGACTAAACAACCATTTACTCTTAGGCAGTGTTGATACCATCCATCGTCAGCCCAAGGTTTGAAAGTAAAGTAGCTCAGCTTTCCTAACTGGCTCAAGCATTCAGATAACTAAAAATGTCTCTTCCTGTGGGTTTAACTGAAATAGAGCTGGTTTCAAGAAACAGCAATTACAGATGAATTGTAAAACTGAGTGGGAATGACTGCAGAAGCCAGAACTGTAAAGCCCCAGGGTATCCAGCACCGTGTAAAAAAGTAGGTTCTCATGTGGCCTGAACAAATGCTATGCGCGAGGTGAGTTGTATCTCCAGGCAGCATATTTCAGGAAGGTAACCACTTTGCAATCCATCCTATTCACAGCCCTTTACTCGAAAAAGATATACAGCATATGGGGGACAACCTGCCTTAGAGCAAGAACTCCTCTGATTCATGCTGATGCAAACTATCAACAGGTACAGGAATTGACTGTAGAAGTACTGTAAACACAGGCACATAAGCATGAACTGATTTTTGTTTAACAACATGACACACTGTTACATACTATGTACTTCACCACACTCACCCCCCAAGCTGGGTGTTTGGCTTCTGGATTTCAGAATTTGACTGCTTTCTTTTCTGATTTATTTTACCTTGACCTTCAGCTGCTCTGATAATCATAGCACAATTTATTCTGACAAACTAGCTAGCTGAAGGCCAGCTAACAGAATGAAGACACCACATTTGTTGTGCTGAAGTTGGGTTTACTTTGCTGTAGGGCACTGCAGCTTGCTGTATAGGTGTTTTTTTTTTAGTAATAAAGTTGGTTGCCTTGAAAACAAGACCTTTAGAAGAGAATGTGCCTCTTTCTTTTAGATGGCACATTCTGCCTCATGTTTTCATGTTGCTGATAGTTCCTGTTTTCTCTGACAATGCTAATGGATATCCAAGTAGGTTTCAGGAGGCCTCTTGGTGACTGTGGAGGAGTCATATGAAGCTACTTGGAATCTGTGCTTTTCAGAATACAGCAATTGTGGAGGATCATGTTTCCATTTAAGTACTAGTCTTTACGCCATACCTACTGAAGCATCATTGTAAACGGGTCAAATCAACCTTCCCCTATTTCTGAGATGGCTGTTGTGCACAAGGAAATGCAGCATCAAGTCTTGTTTGCAATCAGTTAATCTGGAGAACTGACTCTTATTAGCTTGCTCTGGGAGCAAGCTGAAGTCCACCTGGTAGGATTGGATAGAGGGGGTTGTAAGGCACCTTATTTCACTACTTAAAAGGCACTGGACGTCAAAACAAGGGCCAGATCTATGAGATGACTAAATCAACACCTAAAAGAGTAGGAAGAGAGGTCAAAAATAGAGTAAGTGTAAATAAAACCTTTTAAATTAAAAGATAAATAAAAAAAGATTAAAAAAGAGTAAAATCAAAAGTTTAATGCAAACTTTTATCTACATTTTTATTACAGTGAGATGAACAAAATATGAGCAAATTGAGGAATTCTTAGATATTTCACACCTACTTTTGAAGACTGCCTTCTCTTGTCTTTTAAATACTCTTGGGACATGAATTGTAATTACAACAGCTTTAGGAATCTGCTAAGACTCCTCTGAGAAACTAGAAACTATCATTTCAGAAGCATGTTTGTAAGAATTCATCAGAGTACTTGAGTAAGGCTCTTGATCAGTAAACAAATACCAAACAATTTTATCACATTATTTTCTAGAATGTTCAAAACAGATTTTAACTGTTGTGTTATAAAATCAATCCATATGGTTAATTGAACACCACTATTTGTTTCTCCTACCGCATATTTCCCTTCCCTAAATAGCTAAATAAATTCTTGCAGGACAAATCTACATACAAGATTTTAAAGAAGAAATCTTTCACGTATATCTTAAAGATGGTCATGAGAAGACTGAAAGAACAGGAAGGTCCTAATTAAAGTCTAAAGTAAATAAGAATTAGTTTATTTACTGCTGGAAATAAGCAGCTGGGTTTTTTTTTTGTCCATAAGGATTGCTCCACCACTTTACAAAAAACAGCTTTTGTACTAATTGTTAAACACTTGTTAGCATGTGGATGCTATGTCTGTGGGTTATAAAGACACAGTCGCTAGTAAATACCTACTTTGATACATGCAAGTCAATGACATTAGTGATGCCAGCACATGTAAACTGTGAAGAAAAAGACAAAAGCTAAGCACTGCTATTTTCAGCACAAGTTTGAAACACATGCAATAGGACTAAATTTGCCTCGAGTTTCAGTCTTTTCTTGGTCCCTTGCACAAACATAATTTACATACAGTTTGGCCCACAGACATTTCCATCTCAGAAATGCAAGGTCATTGCCAGAGAGGACGTGTATGCTGCGTTACAGAACCGCTACTGGTGGGATGGCAGCAGCATCAGCTTCAGGCAGCATGAGCAGCCCAGCATGTTCTCACATACTAACAGGCTGATCCAAGGTCTGTTGAAGTCAGTGAGAAGACTCACCCTTGAAAATGCTCCCTTAACCCAAGTGTAACCAGCTGACTTCAAGGGTTTACAGTGAAGTGAAAAGTGTGCTTTTTTTGGGTTTCTTTCAGAATGCTAGTCAATATATGTCCACTAGGCTCCATAGTACACAACCTGTTCAAGCTTAGATCTTTCACACCTCAAACTACCTTTCTCATATTTTTAAATGATTTGAAAATACCACACACCATTACCCACCTGTGTTATGAAAGGTATTTTTATTTGATGTAGATAAGACTACATCTGGGCTAGCAACTTTCTATTCTATGTAAAACCAAGATAGATCTAAGTTTGCATTCAGCACTGTACATATCAAACCAAATCAGCCAGTAATTTGATCTTTTTGTTCATAAATCATAGCAAAGCCATTGAAGTTCTTTTTAAGAAAGGAGATAATTAAATAGTATGTGAGGTATTTTAACAAATTATACTTTCTCACTGGAATACACCTTACAGTAAGTACCCCTAATTTAAATGACTTGGTGCAATAGAACAGCCAGTACTAGAAGTATCCAGCAGTTATTTCATTTTCACAGTATGGTTTAACACTTGATATTTTTTATAACTAGAAATAAAAATTTGCATGCCTATACTAGCTTGCACCTGAGAACATTAACAAACTTTACAACCTTATGATAACCTCCTCCCTCCAGAAGCAGTCAGACCGGTTAAACAGCTGCAGAAACAAAAGTACAGTGAGATTTCTGTGACTTGCTCCAGGTCAGAAAGGAAGGCTATAACAAAACTAGTCTGATGCTCTTTCTCTCATGCTCAACTTGCAGATCTCCATTCTTTCTGCATCAGTCCCAGGCCTAAGTACTGTGTAATCTACTTTGTAACACGCACTATCTTTTTGTGTGCAGCAAGTTCCCAGTAGCTCAAAAGGACATGCGGTCTGCTATATCAAGGTACACAGTATAAAAGAAAATGGAGTTACTAGTTATTAAGTTGAGGTATGACCTCTTACCAAGGTATTTAGAACAATTTACAAGTTAGGTTTTATCATCAAAATGGAACTTTTATTTTATATTTTCAACATGAAATACAATAAAATAACAATGCTGTACTGAAAGACATGCTTTTCTGCAAGATTGGGCAATTCTATCTTGTATATTCTGATTTTAAATAGATACAAGTCCTATTTTAAACTTTTCCTGTACTGTGACATACATGTTAATTAACACATTAACAGCAGTATTTATAAAGCACTGATTGTAGGCTGTACATAACTAGGGAGTGATGACATACAACAGAAGACAACAGTTATTCGGTTTTGGTTTATCAGGTGATAAGTTACATACACATTTCTTCAAAATTCAAAAGCTAGCTTCCGTGGAGTCATGAACTGCTTCACCATTTCATCTGTGACCTGCTTCCGTCTCTCTTGATGAGCTGCTATCAAGGGCTGCAGTGTTTCAATGAGTACCTTCTTCAGCTCCCCTGTGAGCAATTCCCCACTTGTGTATGCCTGTCAAGGAAGTGTTGATTGCTAAATATGGTGCCATATGGAAAAAGACTCATGACAAGTACTGCTTTAAGAGCCTGGCCCTAGCAAATACAGATTTGGATGTCTTAAAAATAAGCACATGCCTTAGAAGACCATGTGGTATCACTCTGAAGATGTAACTTGCAAAATTGCTTGTTGCCTTCTGAAAGATTAAGGCAGCTGTGCAATTTCATATGTGACAAGTTATATGGACTAAATAAGCTACATTCACAAGAATTTAACTGGGAAATCCTGTAATTATTTGGAAGAAAAGGTGTATTTTTCACCCCAGAATCCCAGTTCAAAAAAGTCACCTTAAGCTTTTTTCGCAATAAGTACAAATTCTCACTTGGGGGGGGGCCCCCCCCCCCCACTGCATTTAGGTATGAGATCAGACGTGATTAAAATATCCTTTTTACAGCAAAGACACTCAGAAACTATGTTCACACTAGTAGTCATGTTCACAGCTGGGAACTCATTCAGTTACTGTGATATTGGAAATAGCACAGGCTAACTGCTGATGGGTTCAGCCCTGGTCAACCTTGGCTGGGGCAGTTCAGCTACGATATGAAATGGCAATCTTATCTTCTCTTGCCATCAAGCCATCTGTAATACCAATTCAAGCTGTTGTTGCTGATGCTTACTCAAACCATTCTGTGAGTCTATGAAACCAATGTGACATGGGTACTTTCAACTGTGGATACTGCCTTCCAGAGAATGTTTACTGCCTAGTGTTGATGACAACTGTACAGCTGAAGGAAGTGTAGTGTTTTGCTACCAACCCCTGGGGACAGAAGTCTGACAGATAGGTTTAAGGAAAATGCCAGTTACATGAAGCATTTTTTGCTTGGGAACAGAGAATCAATTCCTCATAACTACTGCATTTCTTGTGATAAGAAAACACCCCAAACCCTAGCAAATTTAGTTGTGAAGCTTTCGTACTTTTGCACAGTATATTGGTTTGTTGCACATAAGGAACAGGCAGAGTGCATTATACAATAAAAATAACACTAATCCTAAGGTGGCTTCATTTGAAAGGTAGGGGAAATGTTCTACACAGTGTTGGAGCTCTTTATGAAAATACTAGGAGTTTATTTATTTTTTATTTATTAATTTTTAAGAAGAGATGGATTGGCCTGTGATAAAGAACACTGCAAATAAATACAGATATTTATATTGAGACTTGCAAGGCTACAGAGTGCAAGAGTAACACCACAATTACTTTCGTGCAGCAAGTTCACAGGAGGACTTGGTTACAGCTTTGTCCTTACAATAAGGTATGAATAATATTATCTTCAACTTGGTTACTTACCTGCTTCAGTTGTTCAAGCCTGTCATCATCTTCTAGGAAGAAAGTCAGGTACATAAAAGACACGTCAACATCACAGTTACCTCCATACTTCCTATGCTCTTCAATGGTATCTCTGCCTCCTGAGAAGGCATGCTTGTTAATCTGAAACAACACAAAGATTTTATGGTATAATTTCTCCTAAATTCTGCACTGCTCTATTGTAAACAGAGGTGTATCACGATCCTCAAAATTCTGTACTAAGGACAAGGGTGAAGGGTAGTGCAAGTTAACGCAGAGCCTCAGGACCAACACAGGGTGGCAAAAGGTCATTACAATCCAAAGACAAAAATGGCTATATGCATATTCCTCAAACTGCATAATCAGAATGAAAATGAATCAAAATTAAGAATAATCCACCCAAGATTTAATAAAAAAAGTTTTAAGTCCCTTTTGCTGAAGCAGTTGACTCTCGGATAGAATTTGTGCTCACAGGAAATGTACTTCATGTAAAGAAAAATTAGATATTCACTTCATCAAGAAATTAATTTTGAAAGAGATGAAGAAGGCATGAAGAATTTTGAAGACATCCTAGAGAGAACTTTGGCTCCTTCTCTCTCCAGTGAAAAGGAAAATAAGAGAAAGTGAAGTTAAAGATTACAAGTCTGGCTAGAATGGCTAAAATCAGAAAACGCCCAGTTGCTCAGTATGAAAACTGAATAATTCCTTCCTCTCTCCCCTCTCTTTCTAAGCATAGCTTCCTATGGGCAGATGAACTGCACTGGTGAATACACCTACTTGCTGATCCCATTCCCAGTAAACTCAGAAGCCACTAGCGTATTTTAAAACTTTACACATGTACAGAGTTCTCAGAGCATGCTAATCTTCCTGCAAATTTAAAGAAAATAAATTGCCAGGAAAAGGAAAAAAAGTACTTCTCAACCATAAGTGGAGTTTTCATTTGGCTCTTGTATCTTTTCAGATACCACCATCAACCAGCCAAGAGACACACATACATCTGAAGCAGATTTTTTTCTTTTTTTCAGTTCTGATATCTAGGAGCTGTTATATATTTACAATTTCTGAACATTCTCACTATCTGGATGACTGTCTAATGCTTTTTTGAATCTTTCTAACCACCACGTTACAGATGATGTTGTGGCAATGAATTCCATTAAAAAATGATGCACTGATGAGTGTCTTCAGAAAATGAACTGCCATCTGCCACATCACATCTATTCTTATATTGCAGGACAGCCTGAAGACCTGTCTCAGTATCTGTAAAACTAAGTTTTTACATATTATTTTGCACTTGCCTCTCTCTCCTCTATTAGACTTTTGAAATCCTTGGTATGAAATCTTTTCTGTCATCCATCTCTACAGTTTGCCTTCTTACTAAAGGGAGAGGGATTAAACACAACAGGCCAGGTGAAGACACACTGTTGTTTTATATGAAGTGTTTTCTACATGAATCTCAAGTTTATTTTTTACATATTCTGGCACTTAGTCTTCGACTGAAAGTTTCAACGATTTATTTATAATGATGAACTGACCTTTTCCCTGAATTAGTACAGACAGAATCTAAATAACACTTTCTAGGAAATCAAATAATTGAGCTGTAATTTGATGCTTATAGGTGTAATAAGAATAGTTTATTATAATGTTGACATTTATCTCCTTGGATTTCCCAGACGCTTCTCAGCCTTTCTCAATATCTAGTTTGTTTTTCATCTACTATTATCTGTTAAGTTTTTGAACATCATTACTTTATTGGCCATAACAATATTTGATCTTTCACTCCAGCTCTATTTCCATAAAGATTTGTTTCTGACAAGCTTCAGAAGCTGAAAAAAACCCCAGTTCGTCCTCTGTTACCCAATACTTGACATTATGTTCAGAATTTTTTCTTTATAGCTTTACACTCCAAGTAGCTGGAATTATTTTTTATTTTTCCAACTAATTTAAATATACCAGAAATACAACTTATTAACTGGACATAGGACATCTTGGATCTTTTTGCAGATTACTAGCTACTTGCCAGGTAAAGAATGGAAGAATATTACCAACATTCACACTAACCGTGTATTCTCTATTCAGAAATTACAGTTTTATTTAAAAGGCAACTCTGTAACTGTGCAAATAAACTGGAGTTATTATAATCCAAACACATGAAGAATTTCAATTCCTCAAAACAGTTCTGTTTAATCAGTTTCTTCATAAGATAACGAATGTATCTACAAGATGGCTGTAGAAGAATCTGAGCCACCATGGGTTCATCAACCATAACAGAACCAATCCAAGCCCACCCAGTAAAACAACATACACATCCTTCTTGTTCTGACAGTTACTTAATGTCTAGTTATCATGCCTATATGAATCCTTTTGCACAGACTGATTTATATTTGTGTTTTTTAAATACCACAACACAGGTGGACTTCTGCCAAACAAGATGTACTTTCTCTTGAGCTTGAAAAAGCACTCATAATGTACTCAGACAGGAGAAAATACCCCTTCTAAATCTTAGGTGAAATTCAACACAGTATTTGTTTGTCAGTTGGAGTGCATGGCAGCAGCAGATCCCCAAGGCTCAATGTCCAGCTGGAGACCAGTAACGAGTGGTGTCCCTCAGGGATCAGTGTTGGGACCAGTCTTGTTCAACATCTTTGCTGCTGACATGGACAGTGGGATTGAGTGCGCCCTCAGCAAGTTTGCCAATGACACCAAGCTGTGTGGTTTGGCTGATACACTGGAAGGAAGGAATGCCATCCAGAGGGACCTTGACACGCTTGTGAGGTGGGCTGATGCCAACCTCATGAAGTTTAACCATGACAAGTGCAAGGTCCTACACCTGGGTTTGAGCAATCCTAGGCACAGCTAAAGGTTGGGCAGAGAAGAGATTCAGAGCAGCCCTGCAGAGAAGGACTTGGGGGTGCTGGTCGATGAGAAAATGAACATGAGCTGGCTTCAGTGTGCGCTTGCAGCCCAGAAAGCCAACTGTATCCTGGGCTGCATTAAAAGGAGCGTGACCAGCAGGTCGAAGGAGGTGATCCTGCCCCTTTACTGTGCTCTCGTGAGACCTGACTTGGAGTACTGTGCACAGTTCTGGTGTCCTCAGCATAAAAAGGACATGGGACTGTTGGAACAAGTCCAGAGGAGGGCCACGAGTTTGATCAGGGGACTGGAGCACCTCCCGTATGAAGATCGGCTGAGACAGTTGGGGCCGTTCAGTCTGGAGAAGAGAAGGCTGCGTGGAGACCTCATAGCAGCCTTCCAGTATCTGAAGGGGGCCTATAGGGATATTGGGGAGTGATTCTTCATTAGGGACTGTAGTGATAGGACAAAGGTAATGGGTTCAAACTTAAACAGGGGAAGTTTAGATTGGATATAAGGAGGAAATTCTTTCCTGTTAGGGTGGTGAGGCACTGGAATAGGTTGCCCAGGGAGGTTGTGAATGCTCCATCCCTGGCAGTGTTCAAGACCAGGTTGTACGAGGCCTTGGGTGAGATGGTTTAGAGCGAGGTGTCCCTGCCCACAGCAGGGGGTCTGGAACTTGATGATCTTAAGGTCCTTTCCAACCCTAACTATTCTATGATTCTAAGTGTTGTAACTCACACTGTGCAACACTTGGTGCTCCCAGCATGGAGAGGCAGACAACAGAAAGAGCTGTTTATTAGATTTACATCATGGCTTGTCAGACTTCAAAACTATGGCAACATTATTTTCAGAGCAGGAACCTCCACAGCTCTTATTCTTACACCACTGCTATGCAGACATCAGAAAAATAAACACAACGTTTTGTCCATTATTCTAGCTAATGTTTGTACTGTTTGACTAATAGGCAAGGCAAAAGGATATGTTTGATAGGCTAATAAAATTTGCATAACTCAGTCAATTTGCCATGAAATGTATGGGAAAAAGGATTCAGATATGTTTGAAGATAAATTTAGAAAACTGTCATTGTAACCAGGAGGACCACCATTCATTTTTGTTATAAAGCTTTTAACTCTCAGGTTTTGTAGGTCCTTACCTTTGTCTTGATTTGTTTGGGTGTATCTGTGAGGAAGATGGAGGAGTTAGGGTCACTAGCACTCATTTTCGTCTGTGCTCCTTGTAGGGCTGGGAAGAAGACTGAATGCAGTAAGGCTGGCTTAGGTTGTCCAATTCTAGGTGCTACATCCCGGGTCATTCTAAAATAAGGGTCCTAGAACAACCATCAATAAAAATACAGAATAAAGCTGAAAAATGTAATGTAAAAGCTGACTAGTGCAGACTCCTTCATGCTTTAGCAGGTGGTCTCAAAAATAAAACAACCAAACCCCAAAAAAAAAAACCCAAACCCCAATATTTTCCAGAATCTACTTCAAATCCAATTCATCCAGAGGAACAAACAAAACCTCTTTTTTCCATCTCCATAGTTTTCTTATACACATTGATTCCCTCAACTAGGCATATTTACAAAGATTTACATGAATTCAAATAGCTGTGAGAACTATGCTTAGTATACCAGCAGATGGATGAAGACTAAGATGCAAACTTCCTCCGAAAGTGTTTTAACAACCAGCACAGAATCTGAAATAAATCAGTGATCAAGCCAGCAGTGCTGGGCTGATGATCTGACTTAAACCAATTGTAATATTAGTACATAATATTGTGGCTGATGAGTATAATTACATCACTGACCCTGTGACTAAAATAGCTAAATATTCAGACAGTGCAGACTTTGATTTCTAGAAACAATACTTATTTAAAGTAATGGCACTACCACTGTCATTTGTAGCTGATGTTCTTCTAATCTCTCTATACAGACCTAAATTGTTAAGGTTCTGCAGCCTTTTCAGCAAACTACTTCAATGCCTCTTTATTCTTACTGACAGAAGGTTTTTCCCTATGGTCCGATATAAATCTCTTGTGTTGCAAGTTGAGCTCATTAAGTCTTGTCCTAATTACCAGGGAGATGGCCAAAGATTCTTCCTAGACCCATGTCAGTATACTTCTGCATAAATTTTAGTGTCTTTGCTTTCACAGATTTCAGCTCACTGTGAAATGGGTTGAGATCAAGAAAGATCCAAGACTGGCAAGAATGAGTAATGCACAAATACATATAGTTGGCTTAAGCCTTCATATTTGTCAGCACACAGCACAACATACTTCTAGCTCTTCCAGCTTCTGCCCCAGAAAGGTGCTTGCAGGAATGTTTTACAGATGTTCCAACATACCACCATGACGCTTGAATCGTACATCATAAAAACAAATCCATGAAAAGCAAAGTAAGTAATACGATTTTCTTACCTGATCGATAGCACATGGGATAAGACACTGAATGTTCTCCTTGCCATTGAATATCTGTGGAAATGATGAACTGAAGGATGGAGCGGCTTGAATAGCAGGAAAGCTGATCTTTCCTAGGAAACAGTATATTTGGAAAAGCTAAGCAGCCAATACAAGCCATGATAAATAGAGACAACTTTTTGAAATATGTCAAATGCACAAGTAAATCATTCAGATACTCAGTTGAAAACAAACAGCTATCTTTTTCAAGCAGTCTTGCCTTATCTGAGGGAATCTTTTAATCTTTACCTTCTATGATGTCAAAAACCTTCAAAGTAACATAGAAACTAATGAAAAGAGGCAGCCTGTGATCACAAATGTTTCAGAAAAGGTTCATCAGCACATAATCTCTTCATCATTGAACTATCTACCCTCCCCAGAAATTCAGTTGACTATATCATCACCCTGAGCTGCTCTTTTTTTCTTTTAACTCTTTGTGAGAATGACTGTAGAGCTACTTATTAGGCAAGTTCTGCTCTAAGATCTTAGAATCATTGCTATATGCATGCTATGTTTATGAAGCATCTCAGATATGCCTAGTTTTCTTTTTTATACAGTGCTTAATCACAAGGTGCCCAAGATGCTTCCTTGATCAAAATCCTCTTGGAAAGAAAGCCAAGGGCAGATTTTTCCAAACACATAATGAAGCCATTATCACAATACCAACTTTCATTAGAGCATGCTTAAAATAAGTAGGAATCTGTTGCTTGGTTACAGCAAAGGCTAAAAGCTGTCACTGGCCTAATTACTGGTCAAAGAACGATGTTAGTGCTCAGGACACCAAGGTTTTAATGCCATATTTGACACAGAATACTTTTTTTTTGGCCAATGTTATAGAAACCTGCAATTGCAGTGAAATAAATGGAAGACAGAGTTACTCAGCACCTTGATAATTAGGCTTTTGAGCACTCCTTAACTTTTTTCATATATGCATATGCATGCATGTGTGTATTAATACGAAAGAGAAAAGCTTCTATATAAATTTGGAATAAAAATTTCTAGGAGGCATACTTGACTATAACTCCATTATTAAAAAACAAAACAAAACAAAACAAAAATACAAGGGAAAAGAACAGTTCTCTATCTTGGGGATTCAACATTGGTCTTGTATTTTGCTGCTATTAAGGTTGAAAAAATAGCTATCAATCACGCTAGAAATTTCACTGTAAATTGTTTTCTATACTGAGGGAACCACAATAACACCCTTTTAGAAGAGCCTAGAAACATGGATCTTCTTGCTTTTTCTATCAATTTCATGATACTAATCTCTTTAAATTATTAAATAGTGCCATACAGAGTGAAAGTAATCATCACTTCCAGTAATGCATTATTTCCTACCAATGCAATCACTGTCTGTAAAGCCAAAGATTCCTTTCACTTGGTTAAATGTAACATGCTTCTGAACTTTGACGACATTTTTGTAGAATCCAGTACTTGTCCTGTGAGAAACAAAGTAGAAAAATAAAATGAAAAGAGCAGAAAAGTGCAGGCAGAAACTACAAGCTAAGAATGTCATAAAACCTGCAGGATTAAATCTCACTGTTTCAGATTTTCTGTGGCCCACTGAGATAATAATTACAGAATTATTTACAAAAGAACTTTATTCCTTGAAATTTTAATTTATTCTTCCCTCCCCTCAACATTTACTGCAAACATTTACTTATCCTTATGCTTCTCTGTGAACTGAGGCAACCTAAATGTATTACGTCTTCTGTGTTGCTTGGCATCCCCAGTTTGTATCCCATTCAGGACACTGCATCTTGTCAAAGTAATAGTAGCTCAAATCCTCCAAATTCTTGTTTTCTACAGGCTAAATTCCCTGCTTGTATTTCCAAACCAAAAATAGCTCAGCAGCTTCTTCCTTTTTTATTTCTGCTGAGGAGCTGAAGCAAAGAAATAGCGATTCTGTTATTCAGCCTTATTCAGCCATAGGGCAGATCTGTGTTAATGACACTTTTCTAAGGCAAGAAAATCACAGGAGTTAAAGGAAGAAAAGCTGCTTTGTAGGTTCCACATTCTGGGGCTGTATGTTATACAGTTCATCTCTAAAATATACATTCTCTCATCCAAATCTTTAGGGAAGCTCATTTCCCCACATGGAATAACAAAGCTCACAATTCTGGTTCTGAACTCTGTCATAAAACTTATTCCTTCTGAGAAGGCAGTTCCCATAGACACTTCTTTTTCTTAAATTTTCATTAACTTTACTCAAAGTCCAAATAATAATCTTGCATGCTCTATTATTAAATTAATTAATCACAGTTGCTGAAATGCCTTTTGTTAACACAGATAAAGTGGAAGCACACCACAAAGATTTTGATAGAGTGTTAAACAAATCAATCTGGAGGTTTCTTGGAGGTTTAAATATTTTCAAAATTTAGCTGGTTTACAGAATCACAGAATCACACAGAATCCCAAGGGTTGGAAGGGACCTCAGCATTGCACACAGAAGTATTTTTTCATATGTTATACAGGAGAATGACAATACTATATACACAAAATATTAGACAGCCAAAAAATTAATTATGTTTCTATTGTAAGTATTGTAAAACTTGTCTTGAAGCTTTCAAATTTAGACACATTTATCAAAACATTGCTGGATGTCAAAGTTGGAGAGAAAATAAAAGCATTTCTTCATTAGAGCCCTAAAGAAATTTATACTTACCCCAAATAGTCTAAATCAGAAAATATAAAGGTTTTATTGATGTCAAAACCACATGCAATGATGTCTTTTGCATTTTCTTTAGCATACTCATATGCCTTCTCGGTTGTCATGTCCTTCCATAGATATTTCTCATCATCAGTTAACTGTATAACTAAGGGAACATCAAATACTTCTTGCAGCCACCTAATAAAAGCAGGAAGATTTTATCTCAAAGTAAGTTGAAATGAAAACGTTAAGTCATGCAACTAAAATATTTTTATACGTTGAAACAGAAGTGTATAAAGAGGCCTGCTTCTCCTCTTTGCATGGATATGCAGTTGCTGATGTGAACAGAAACTGCATTATAGAGCAATGTTACCAAGTCTCACCACAAACTAATTTTTAAGAAGAGCAGAAATTCTAAGGGATGCCACAGGGCTAAGAGTGCAAGGAAGAGGGTTTCATGGCAACACAGGGATAATGATAATTTTAATGAAAAGGTAAGATTGCATTGTTTAAGTTCATTAATATTTAGCTCACATAAGGAGTTCCATAAACCATGTTCAATATTTTCTTAGGAAAAAATGTTTTGATTAACACAAATAGTAGAAATAACTTACTTTGTGAACACAAATGGGATAAGATGACCAACATGCATTGCCTGAGAGGATGGCCCTCTGCCTGTATAAAGGTAAAAGGACTTCTTATTTTCATAAGCATCAAGGATTTGGTCCATATCTCTAAAGAAAAAACAGAGAAAACAGATGCAACTCTTTAGGAAGAAACATCACAGCAAAAAGCTTCTATTCAAAATCTGACTCCTTCTGAAGCCAAACACACTTATAAAATATGGTATGTTAAATGTCCTAGAAACAAAAGGGTTTTGTTTGTTCATTTTTATGTATTGTCCCCTTCAGACTTCATGAAAATAAAGAAAAAAAGAAATTAAAAATCAGTATTTAAATTTAAATAGAAAATGTATAACTTTTGGAGTTACTTAATTGGATACTAATTTCTAAAGGCTAATTAAAAGAGATGGAATAATTTCTCAAGTAGGTTCAAACAACCAGCTTGAAATGGTATCCGGTGGAGGCTATGCCCTGGATCCTGCTAAGGCACTTAGCTGAAATGTGCTAGCTGCTATGTGTTCTAAGAATTAAACAGTGTAGATGACTGGCAGACTGGTGCTTAAGGTTATTCCCTGAGTCTTTTTTATACAACAATACAGATGCACAGGTCCCACAGGCCATGTCAACCCTTGTTTAAATCAGCATTGACACCATATGAGCCCTTAAGCTCACTGCTAGAACAATGCTTTTGTCTGGCTGCTAACATAGAATCAAAGTGAAACCTGTATAAAGCAAAGATCCTGTGCACATTTCTTCAATTTGGGATTAGTGAGGACACATCAGAAACAAATGCAACCAGGGGTTTCAAATGTTGACAGTGGAAATCTGCAGTAGTTGCTAACTTCAAATGACAGAGTTGGTTTTCCTTGTTATAGAAGAACATAGCCTTTTGCTAGTCACAGGTTCCTCCCAAAAATGCTCACAGAAAGTCTAACAGGACCTCTCTGAACGTTAAACCAAGAAAAACTCACCTGTGAGAAAAAAAGATTCCTCTACGTAGAAAGCGGTGAGGTTTTTGCCCAATAGCTCTTTCTATTCGCTTGATCAGGTCAGTGTCAATTTTACTGCTGCCAAACCGAACTATAATCATAAAATGTAAAAAAAATTAAAGCATAGCACACTTGCAACCAGATCTTGGATCACCAAGAACATACCGACGCAACCTAGATTAAAAAGAACATCCTCATGTCTCAGGTAAAAAGGCTGGATTTTCCCGATTCTTCCCCGAAGTCCCAGTAGTTATTCATCCCCAGAAATAACTCTATGCTAGGAGACCCAATCCATTCACAACATGTAGTACTGCTCTATCCATTACTGATTATAATTGCAGTCTCCTTACAGCAGAAGTATTGATATTCAGCACAAAAAAATATTACAAAGAAATATATTTAGGTCAATAACTTGGCCTAACTAAGCCATAGGATAGAAGTAGCTGTGAGGCTCTAAATGTCCCTCTGTTGATGTCTGATTTTTCACGGTTTTTTACTTGTCAACTCCAAATGCTCCTCTGCAAACTTAATTCTGCTTTCATATGGATATGGTTACAGACACTGCTCCCCTCAAGAGGCTTGAAAAGGTAATGCATAATACTCTTAATAGCAACCAAGCAGAAGTTGTTACTCGGTGGTTCAGGAAATCAGCTGATTAATAAAACAATATTTTCAGATGTAGTCATTTCATTCAAAAAAGGTTTTGACAGAGTGGAATAACAGTATTTCTTCCTATTCCAAATTGAACTGGGGAAGCCTTTTATTTCTTCAATAAAGTTTCCTATATTCCAGTCCCATTTCTTGTACCCTAATAAGCAGATCAATGCTCTGTGATTTGGATTTGATAAACATTTGATAAAATCAAGACAACAATCTACTCTTTGCTACTATTGTGCTCCATGCAGCATTGGAACAATTTTCACTTTTAATTACAGAAATGCCAAAGTATCCAAGAGAACAAAACAGAGACTCTGGATGTAAAGGTAACATTTTATATGCACAAAATATCTAAATCCATCTCTTATTAAAGAGAGACTGCCCTGGCAAATTCCATGGTTATAAGACACACACCCACATGGGAGAAGCACTTTAGGTCTTCCTGACTATAACAGAAAACAATCATTCCACAGGGACATATCACTAACACTGATAAATTTCAAATATCTTGACAGTTTCCTAAGGAAATTGGAAACACAGAAATTAATTTTAAACCATTCATTATGCAGCTAGTAAATTATGGCTTACAGAACTACTTAGCTCTGCTCTGGTGAAAACAGCATATTCCTAAGTTTTCAATTATTACTTGTTTCTTGTTTTTTTTTTTTTTTCTTTTCCAAGCCAAGAACCAGTGACATTAAAAGCCTTCCTGCAAGAATATTGTAATTAACAAAAATGGTTACAATTACTGTATTTATAATCATTAGTATTTGTTGAACAGGTAGGCTTCTAATGTTACATCGTAGCACATGGCAACAATACCTAGCTGGACAGTGCAATGGTTTACATCACTGGACAACAGAGACAGACTGATGCTTGATTCTAGCTGGAGGCAGAGCTCTCTACCTGTGCTGGTTACCCAATGTAATACAAATCATTTTACAAAGAAAATTAACTCACTGGGGGAGCAAGGAATATTAAGCACATTGGTGTAGTTTGAAAGTAAATATTCAGATGCAACTTGTGTATTATAGTAGACTAATTTCTTCCCCAGAAAAGGGAAAGAGACCTTTAATCCCTTTACAGCACAGGTTCTCTAAGAACAACTTGGAGGCTATTTTAAGGCTTTACATACATCTCAAAAAAGACTACTGAAAACCATGATCGTCCTAATCATTGAGACTGCAGTGCTTCCTAGGGATTATGAGGGATGGGACAGAAGAATCAGACCAATATGTACCCTGGGCCACTGCAATGCAGAGAAGCTCTGAGCAGAGGGAATTCCTCTTCTACACTCTGGCTGACAATGGGGATGTGTGTTTAAGTTTGTTACAGGAACTGTTTTTTAATTTTGTTATATGAACAACCTTTCACAAACAAAAATCAGGAATACCCGCTTAAATACTCAATTTTGACAGAAGCGTGGTAATGTATCCAGTTTGAACATTAACCTGGAGGTACGTACTTCTGCTGTTCCAGACCCTCTATATCCACTTAATTTTCTTATAGAATTACTGGTTTTGCACAGCATTAATATAAGGCTTTGCATATACAATTAAATTTTAAGTTAGTAGGAATTAATTTCTAAATGGGAGGGAATACTAGGAATGCTAGCATAGAATGGTTTGGGTTGTAAGGGACCTTTTAGAGGTCATCAGTCCAACCCTCCCTGCACTAAGCAGGGACATCTTCAACTAGATCAGGCTGCTCACAGCCATGTCCAGCTGGACCTTTAATGTTTCTAGGGATGTGGCATCTACAGGTTGTTCTCTCAGCAACCTGTCCCAGTGTTTTCATAACCCATACTGTAAAGTCTTTCTTCCTTATATCTAAATCTACCCTCTTTTAGTTTAAAACCATTGCCCCTTGTATTGCTACAAACCTTGCTAAAAGGTTTGTCCCCATCTTTCTTGTAAACCTCCTTTAAGTACTGAGAGGCCACAGTAAGGTCTCCCTGGAGTCCTTCTCTTCTCCACGCTGAACAACCCAACTCTCTCAGCCTGTCTTCATAGAAGTGCTCCAGCCCTCTGATCATCTTTGTGGCCCTTCCCTGGACCTGCTCCATTTCTTTCCTGTTCTGAGGGCTCCAGAGCTGGACAAATTACTTCAGAAAGTGGTCTCACCAGAGTGTAGTGAAGAGGCAGAATCACCTCCCTCTGCCTGCTGGCCACATTTTTGATTCAGCCCAGGATACAGTTGGCTTTTTGGGCTGTGAGCTCACATTGTCGGCTCATGCACAGCATTTCATTCACCAGTACCACCAAGTTCTTCTCTTCAGGGCTATTGTCAATTCCTTCATTCCCCCAACCTGTCTTCATACTGCAGGCTGCCTAACTCAGGTGCAGGACCCTGGCCTTGTTGAACCTCATGAGGTTCACGCAGGCCCACTTCTTGAGCTTGTCCAGGTCCCTCAGGCATGCCAACCACACCACTCAGCTTGGTGTCTATACCATTATCCAATGGGAAATGAGTTCTTGCTTAGAATTGTTCATTCACTCCAGATGAAGCAAGCAGGGTATCATACTGACCCATTAAAATAAATGTCACTAAAAAAAGACAAATGCTGATACATGGTTCAGCAACCACTGCTTTAATTCATATGTTTTCCAAGCATTATCACATTTGTTTGTCCTAAGCAAACTTTAATTACTGAATTAATTTCTTTCTAGCAAATAAAAGGCATTACAAAATGGCAAACTAATTATAATTTGGATGAATGCTAAAAAGAGAACAAATGAACATGAAAATGTTTGATTCAGCAGAACAATAGCAGCTGGTAAGAGGCTAATCTCACAGAAACAGAAAACATAAGGTTTATCAGCTAGCCCCAGGTTAATGAGCTAGCCACCCCAGAAATATTTGTGTACTGTCATGTAAAGTGATTAAAAAGTCTCTGATATATAGAACACTTCACTGGAAATGCCTAAATATCTTCATTAAACAAACATTCACAGGTTGCACAACTGCCATTTCTTTGCCCATCTTCATCTTCCTGGTTAAAAAATAGGGTAATTTTTTCCTACCTATTTTCTCTCATGAGGGTGTTCAAAACATTTTAGGCTTTCTATCCACTAAGAATCTGCTTTCCTAAACAGTTTCTGACAAGGACATAGTCTCTACTCCTTAACAAGCTTTTAAAAAATTCTTAGCATGCTTTGGATCTCTAGTGTTTTTACACTCGTGTTTTACTAGCTTTTACCAAAAGACACCTTTCAACTTGCTGTATGTAAGAAGTCCTGACACCTGTCATATTCAAAGGCATATTTGCATTTTCTGAAAATTTATTGTGTACTTTTTCTTTTTTGCCATTGCCATATTATATTTGCATACAGGAAACTAATACCCTCCTATTTGTTATACAGTAACTTTATTGATCAGGCCAGTACAGACAGAACAGTCACAGCATCCGGGAAAGGCTCCTGGGGCTGGAAACGCCACTCCTACCTTAAGTAAGGGCAAGAAGAAGGAATTGTGGAACTACAGGCTGGCCAGCCCCACCTCAATCTCTGGGAATGTGATGGAGCAAATAATCCTAGAAACCACTCCCAAACATTATTAAAGACATGAAGATGACTGGAAGTAATCAGCATGGATTTATGAATGCAAAATCATGCCAGATCAACCCAACAGCCTTCTGTGATGATATGAGTAGCCTACTACATGAGGCAAGAACAGCAGATATTTTTTATCTCAACTTTAGTAAGGCTTTAGGCACCATCTCCCATCTCATTCTCATAGCTAACTCATGAAGTCTGAACTAGATAAGTGGATGGCAAAGTGAATCAAAAATTGGCTGAACTGCCAAACTCAAAGGATTGTGTCCAGCAGCACAAAGTCCAGCTGGAGCCCAACATTATTTGTGTACCCCAATAGTATTGGCTACTGGGGATAAAACTATTTAACATCTTCATTAATGATGTGGATGATGGGACAGAGTATACCCTCAACAAGTTTGTGGGTATCGCCCAATATTGCGAGGGGTAATTGATACAACAGATGGTTGTGTTGCCATTCAGAATGACCTTGGCAGGCTGAAGAAATCGCTGACATAAATTTAATGAAGTTCAACAAAAGAGAACACAAAGTCCTGACCTTGGGGAGGAATAATGCCATACACTTATACAGGCAGGGGGCCAACTGGCTGGAAAGCTTGGCACAGAAGGACCTTAGGGTCCTGATAAGACTGAATTGAACATAAACCAACAACAGTTTTGTGACATTGGAAAGTCAAACACTTTATGTGTTGCTTTAGGAACAGCACTGCCATAATGTCAAGGGAGGTGATCCTTCCCCTCTGCTCAGCACTGATGAGACATATCTGGAGTACTGGATCCAGTTCTGGACTCCAGCTTGAAGAGGACACCCAAAGTGAATCCAGCAAAGGGCCATAAAGATGAAGAGCATGTAGCATCTTTAGTATGAGGAGAGGCTGAGAGAGCTGGGATTGCTGAGCTTGAGGAAGAGAAGGTTCAGGTGGGGTCTTATCAATATGTATTAATATGTGATTAGGGGAGGCATGGGGAGTAAAGAAGATAGCACCAGCCTGTTCTCAGTGATGCCCAGTGAAAGGCCAAGAGGCAACAGGCACAATTTGAAATAAAGGAAATTTCATTTAAACATATGAAAAAACATCATATTGTGCCTATGGTCAAATACTGAAACAGGCTGCCCAGGAAAATCATGGAATCTCCAACCTTTACAATAATAAAATTCCTACTGCACAGGGTCCTAAGCAACCTACTTCAGTTGACTCTGCTTTGAGGTTGGGGGTTGACTAGACAACCTGCAAAAAAATCCCTGGCAACTAACTGCTTTCTATCACTTGCAATATTCAGCTCACTGAATTATCAGCATGGTTGATAATGTAACACACAAAGGTCTCTCATTCACCTCTCTGCCCTCTGCTCAAACAAACAAAACAAAAATTCTATGGATGTTCATGTCCAGTGCTTAGCTAACAGAAACTTTCTTCCCAAAATACCTTCAGGCTGTTTTGCTGTGCAAACATACATTTAGGTGCATCTAGGATAATCATTTGAGAAAAATATCCCTTTCAATTACATAGTGCTTTTAGCACTTCTGTTTGAGTAAACACAAGCACCCTGGAAACTTTCTCTGGTAAGCAGATTTTAGGTAGCACAAAAATATCCTTTATTGTAAGATCTATCAGATGTCTATTTCTTGGCCAATATCTTTAATTATTATTTTAAAATGGGGAGGAAGAACAGGAAGTTTATCAATAATGAGCAGTAACTGTTTCATAACCTGAAGTTGCTAGGCTAGCATTCTCTGAAAAATTTCCAACACATCACTTGATCAAGCAAAATGACTCATCCACTAAATTCCCCAATCTGCTAGTACTGTAAGTAAAAACCCTTAACCTAACCCACCCTTCTAGGGTAGATCAAAAGTTCATACCTATACACACATACACAAACAATTACTGGGAAGAAGGGCATTGCTGTCAGGCTTTAACATGGCTTTAGAGAACTGATTTACAGTGACATCATGATAATCATGATGGTTTTGATCAGGATTTTTTGTGATCCCTTGCTGTATTTGTGGTCATTAGGATCACTTAGATTAAACTCCTTAGTAGCAGTAAAGAAAGAGTTATACCTATGAGTTTATCATAATCCACGCCTTTAGCATTTGAAGTCTGCACTGTCCAGGGGTCCACAAAATCTTCATCCTCTTCTTTAGTTGTTCCATTGTTTATTAATACAAGATCTCTTGGAGGCAAGCCTGCCTGATAATCTTGTCCTGTTGCTGATTTATATGACAGTTTTAACGATAATAGCATTCTCACTGCTGCATCAATTTCATCCTGAATAAAGGAAAAAAACCTGTTTGCCTTGATATACTTAAGATAGGTAATTACACTAATGTCCTAACCTTTTAAAATCCTGCATCCATGCTTTGACTTTAACTGCATTATTCATAAACTCTAAGTTTTAATTTACATGTTTGCAGCGTTACTACCAAAGGTAAAAGAAAAGCAAGTAGCAGGTAACCAGTTTTTACTTCACAGAATTTAGAGCATCACTACTGCCAAGATATTTAAAGCACCACTGTCTCACTTTTCAATTTCTGCCTGAGGGAAAAAGAAAATGCATGCCCTTTTTTGGGGGGCATAACAAACTTAACAGTTTAAGCACAAATTACTAAGATACATAAATATAACTTCTTGTCTAATTTACTTTAAAATGCTTTTAGTGGTCCACCTTAAAATTGTTCATTAAAATTAACTGACAAACTTGAAGAAAAAATAAAAAAAAAATTCTTCACAACTTTCATGGTTATGACCTTTTAAATTCAAGGCTATTGTAATATTTCATGCAGGCAATAGATAATAGAAATATATAAATACTTGACTCCCAATTTTCAAGGCTTACTCCCACAGGCAATACACTAAGAGAACCCATATTAAAACTGAACTCTCTTTGCCAACATAGAGAAGACAGGACAGGGAACTTGAAATTAATGGCAAACTACTAAATTAATTAAATGAGATTAAGCAGGGACTGTCAGTACAGTTACAGAAAGACATATTTACTAGTGTGTACAAATACAACTGAAGAAGATTTTAATGAAGCATCTAAAACCATTGAAAAATGTGATACAAATTTTACTTGAAAACCAAATACCCTGAATCCTGTCACAGCATGGCAAGTGGCTAAAGCAGACTTCTAAGCCTATGACTTTCTTTTCTTAACTCAGGAGTAAAAAGTGCTCTTGCTAGTGACTACCTTGCTCCAGGTACGGCTACAGTTCACAAAACGGACATAAATGCTTTTAAAAAGATTTTTTTCTTACTGCAATACAAAAAAGATCTTAGAACAATCATATTCTTCATCATTCTTAAAGGCAGACCTAGCTTGGAAAAGGATGGGTTCAAAACATGAAACAGAAATACCTTTGGTGCTTTTCCTGCTTTCAGTGCTCTGACTTTCTCTCCTTGTTCAGTTACTCTTTCAAACAGCTGGAGCGGACTGAGAGACTTCAAATCACAGTTTGGACTATCAGCCATTTTGCCAGACTGCAAAAGACTTGCTTATTTACAATTCAAGTAAATTTATTGTCTTCCAATTCTTTGGCTAGTAGATTCCGAACAGCAGCAACAACAAGGAAAACTGTAAGGCAAAAAATAGTGTATTTTATTCTTTTGTGTTTATCTTGCCAACTAGAAGAACAGAATAAAAGTACAAAAACTACATTTACCTAATTCTGTTCATATCAGATGGATAAATGTGGAGGCATCAACACAAGAAGTTTCAATTTCACACAGAAATGGACCGAGACTGACAGAGTACCTAATAAATTTAGAGATTGCTTGTAATGCTGTCTGTTTTTAACACTAGAACACCTTTTCAAAGACAAACTCTTGCCAAAAGTAAAAATAATTAAATATATTATGATTCAGAGCATCGCAGAACAGTTGGTAGAGGTTATCCTATTCTTCATTAGTTAATGGTTTTGCACTACTTGATATCCTGTCAAATTCTGAATGAGATTTTTATGATTGTCATATGGAATTCTGTCTTAATATATGTAATGTAGTACTTCAGCTCAAAGAAAGATATGCAAGAGAAAAGCTTAGTCATCTTTACTGCTTTCCTCTAGAGGTTACAAAACACATTTGATTATTAGTGAGAAATGCTGCTTTCCAAAGAATCGGTGGGTACGCAACAGGCTATAAATTTAAGGAACTATTTTGCTTCTCAGCAAAGCGTAGGAAAAATCATAGGAGGTGGGTTAAGATGATGAGATAGCTGAGAATAATAAAACAGCAGCCTTCCTATGTCCAACGTATACACCTTGTTCACTGGAGCTTCTTAGCACAGAGCATTCCCATGATTCCACAAATGGGCTTCTCTTCCAGGCTAATATCATTGTACATATTAACAATAACACCATCTCAAAGTTTCTTACCAGCCTAGTAATTAACAGTGACTGAGACTTTGGTAAACTACAACTGCATAGTTTACAGTACACTAACAGAGAAAGTACAGGAAGTTAAACAATGCTGTTTTGTTAAGTAAGCATACTTAACATACTTACATGAAACATACTTAAAGCATAAACATACTTAAACTTACTTAACACAAACGTACTTAAAGTGTAATGTTTTCTTATCAAAAGCATTAAAATAATTTTCACTCTACCTCAGAAACATCTTGATCTTTTCCCAGCAGTTGTAATCTAAAATGTTATAAAAAGCTCTACTGTACTTAATTTTAATGAATACACTGAACACCTCTTAGTAATTTCCAAGACACAAATGCCTGTAACATGGATTACATTGAATTAACTCGTACTTTACTACACATGCCTCCCATAAAGGTTGGCACAGCAGTTACTGATATCCCAGAAATTTCTTCCTCTAATGTTAAATGATAAACTGCCTTCAGATGACCTCTGATCTAAAAATACAGTTTTATTTATGTCTAAGAAATCCAGTGAACGTTAGTAACCTGCTAGGAATAAAAATCCATTTCAACTGCAAAGGAAGAACTAATTATCTTAAAAAATCCTTATTTTCAAAAATTATTCATGCTCAGCAGCTCTCTGTACAAAATGATGAGTTCTTTAGAACTACAAATGCTCTAAATATTTTTTTTCATAAAAATTCAAGCATCATGCTGTTTAAATATTCAGAACTGAGGATAAACAAGCTTTAACTTGACAGGCAAAGAGAATTTAAAAACCATTATGGTTCTGGTTATAGTGAGCTTGCCATATTTACACAGAAGAAAATAAGTATTAAAAATGGGTAAGGAGGACACCATCTGTCAGAAAAACAACATTGTAAGTGAAAATGCAACTATCTCGAATCTATTTGGGATGAACATACCATAATAACAAAGTACATAGAGAAGCACAGAGAGAATTATAAAAGAATTTCATAAACTGTTAAAATGAGTTAACAGTGCAGATCCTAATGACAAAAGTACATTTTCCATGAAAACTATCACTGCGAGTTGTCCAGTGTTGTGAAGTGCTGCCTCACAAACTGATGTGGTCAATTTATGCAATCACCCAGGCTACTGTATAGCTTTTTTACCTGAGGAAAGCGATGTCATCTTAATTCATAAATTTATGCTTATTTTACCCGCACTGTATTCAGACATGATTGCAACAAATTCAACAAAAGGTAATTTCATTCTGAGTTGCAAACAGTGGGGTGGTGGAGTATCGCTGTCACAGCATGGTTTAGTGGTGGACTAGGCAGTCCTGGAGTAAAGGTTGGACTTGATGACCTTAAAAGTCTTTTCCAATCTAGTTGAGTCTATGATTCCATACCCATGTTTATGAAGAAAGAACTCTGTGCCCATGTAAAGTGCTACTGACTTGTAAAGGATTATGTCTCGTTGGAGACACTCCCTACCATATTATGAATCCATTGCTATGCATGGAGCATGACTAGACTGAGTTACAAGATACATACATAAGTGACTCATATAAGCTGTTAATAAAAATACATGTTCATTTGGCTCCCTTTTCCCAGAATTAAAAAAGAAGAAACAAAAGCATGTAGCAGTTGCATTAGTTGTTCACCAGTATTTCAAAGCCTTCCATCTACAAAAATAATCAGCCTAATCACAACCTTGGTTATATTTACACAGTATATATTTAAAGGCTGTAAAAAGGCTTCACCTGCCTAGAAAACTTACACAGGTTGATTCGGTAACTTGCTGGCTACCAAAACATATCTGTCATTAAGGCTTTGTTTGTCAGACAGCTGCGGCATTCCCAGATTTCAGCTTCAGTTTAATACCAAAAGAAAGCTAAGAAGCATATCTGTCCACCTGCTAATTTAATTCACTTAAGTCTTTTAACACTGACACCATGTTGGGCTTCCATAACTGACTAAAATAAGGCTAACATATTACCAGTAATACTTAAGTATTACTTAGTTTTTAACCTAATCTCGATCTTTTCAAGTTTGATTATTTGCAGTTTAACAGCATTATTCTGAAGAGGTAATCTGAAGCATATAAACAATTCTCTGATGTATTCCTGCAGTTTACTTACATTCTTTTATTTGGATACTAGTGTTTTTTTCATGAGCACAAGATAAAGAAATACACCCTTTCTGTAAGAATATGCCAGTTATATTTACTGGCTTCAAATTTTACAAAATAGAATAATGTAAATAAGAATTAACCTTTGGTGGAGAACAAATCGTGATTTGGTGCGTTCCTGAACAAATATCCTTACTGACAGATTACATCTGCTCAGAAATGCTGAAATGGCAGAGTTGAAACTGAGCACATATAGTGGAGAGTGGTGAAAGAGAAAGACTCTTTAAAGATTTTGGAATATTAGGGATTTAAGCTGAGCGAAGTATCACAAAATACAGTGCATTTTCATTAAGAAGCAGCAAAAGTTATCTAGGCATTGTAACAAGAGATATTATGATTACAGAATGTAAAAGATATTGACTGCTACATAAAACTTATCTCTTTTTACCTCAGTACTGTCATTACTTGCTGATGGAATTCAAGCCAGGAATTCAGTAATATGGAATAGGTCTGTATCTTTTGATATCCATAACTGCAATTGTGAACTGCTTACAAGAACATTTGGATATTCTGTACTTTATCAGGACTTTTTTTTCGTGCTCTCTTATTGATACTATAAAAGCCAGCAGTTAGATACTGTTGATTTTAGACACGTGTCTAACATATAGACACAGTATCTAATTGCTCTGTTAGACACATTAGATACTGTATGCAGACACATGAGATACTGTATGCAAACAGATCTGGAGGGAAAAAATGATACATGAGAATGGACTACTAGGATATTCAGGACCAGAGTCTTAAATGAACTTAAACACCTCAGCACAGTTTCACAGTGTGAATTTAAAAGCCAAGAATTGTCTGCTTTTTATATTTATGCAATGCATAGTAACTTGTAAGGGGCACTGCTCTTGTGACCTTTTCAGAATATTAGATCATCATGAGACAAAATAATAACTCAAAAATAATCCTTGGCAGAGATATCAGGAAACAACTATGTCCTCCTCTTTCCAGCTGGGTGACAACCACAGTTCTGTGATAATTTTCACTGTTTCCTATCTGATTTGGTAAGTTAGAGACCAGAGAATCAAAGAACAGGGCTTCATGTTATGTTAAGAAAAGCTTTTTCATGACAAACATTTCATGAAAGAGAACAGCAATACAGAAGTCCTGAAAAGGTTTTCGTGATGAATGAAAGAATGTGAATTTAATTCTGACAGCACTTATGTTCCTGAAAACTGTTCTGCCTCCTGGAAATAAAAAATAAAAAGTGAAATTAAAGCAGGTAGTATACACACAGATGCTGTGAAAAAAATACCTTAAGTACTCCAAAACAGGCTGCATTTTATAGTAGCCCTACCTTCCCAACCATGGCAATCATCAGCTTCTGTTTGAAAACACTAAAGTGTGCAAGGCAATTTCCTGAGATGATAATATGGCCACTCAACCACTCTAATCTTTAGAAAGTCCCATATGAATCTCTACTATCCCAGAACTGTTAAGAGCTAAGCTCTTGTGCAGGGATGGTCATGCATGAGATTAACCAGTAAGCTAATGTTTCTAACCTGCCAAACCTTCTCTACCACACACGCCTGCCCGGCCAAAGCAAAGGTCCTCGCCTGCTTGGGCTGGGCCGCATTTTCCAGTGACCAGAAACCCTATTCCCCGTCACTCGCCAGGGAAAAGGGCTTTTTCTACTGCCGCACCGGAGACGTAGCCACGGGGACTGCGACCACGCAGGGAGCGCAAGGAAGAGCCCTCAAGCATACGGACATGCCCCGGAGGCAAGGTGCCCAGCAGAGACCCCCGCTCCCAGCATGCCGTATCGGTCACGGGGCCGCAATAACCGCCTCTAGAGCCCCTCTCCCGCCCGGGTGTCTCGCCGAAGCCCCAGGCCGGGCCCTGAGCTCACCTCCCACCGGAGCACATCCAGACCCAGCTCCACTCCACTCAACTCTCCCCTGTCACTGCCATTGCATCACACCCCACCAGCACGGCACTCACAACTCCCGGCTGGGAAACGCATGCCCGCGGAACCATTGCTTCCCACTGTCTTCCTACTTTCTAGAGTAACCAACCAGATGAAACCCCTCTACATCGCCCACAGCAGTGGTAGAAAAATTCTTATACGCACGGAGAACTGTAAGCTAACCCCTGCTCTTCCCAAGAAGCAGTCCCTAGTCGAAAACTGTAACACGTGGAACGGTTTGAACGGAACGCCCTGTTTCCACCCGGCGAGCTTTTAAACACGGAGCCGCTGTAGGCTGGTTGGTGAGTTCCGGGCTACGCGGCCAGTGGCGGCTGGTACGGCGTAGGTACCTGTGGGGTGGAGCAAGCGGCCCTGGGCACGATGCCGGCCTCTGCGGAGGGACAGCAGTAGAGGTGGCCCCACTACTGGCCACGGCGGGTGGGTGCACAGTGCGTATGGGTGGAGGGAACGACAACAGTTCTGGTGCCAGGAGAGACGGGAAGGAAGCGGGGTCGGGGTGCTTTGGCGACCGCAGTGCTGCTCCTTCGGGCGGTGCAGTTCGGGGTTTGGGTTGGCGGTCGTTCTCCCCGCCTCGGGGCTGTGGGGCGGTGGGAGCGAGGAAGCGCTTGGAGAGGACTCGGGGCTGTCCGGCCAGGGTGCGAGTTAATCTCGCCGTGAGCGGCTGGCAGTGCTGCTCCCACCTCTTACGTCGTATCTCGGATGACTTTCGTGGTTTCTTAGCTGGTGTGTGGCGTTGTGCGTGTAAGCCTAACGCTCTTTGGTTTAATGCGTTCGGATAAATCGGTCATGGGAAAAAGACAACCAAAACTTTATAAACTTCCGTGTTAGCTCAGTGCGTTGTAAGTCTTGTTGTTAATAAATTCGGTCTACTTACAGTATATTTCCAGTGAAGTACATTCTGTCTTTTCTCCCCCGTGTTTTTCTTTAGTTGGGGCACTATGATAAACTTTGGGGTGGTGTTTCTTTAAAAGCAGATGTTGAATGGGAAATCTTAAGATGGCAGAGTTGTGTTGTTGTTACAAAAATACTAATGCTTATGAGTGATGTGTGTGAGGGGAAGGATTTATCTGACCCGTTACTAACCAAATGTAATGGGACAGCTTCATTCTTGTATGTCATAGGAAACCTTTTTTTAACCTTGCATGTGCAAGACACCGTCTCTGAATCTTAGCTTAGGGTTTTTCTTGGTGTTAAACCAAACTCCAGTAACTTTGAAAGTCCAGCCCAATCCAATTGTGTATCTTCATTTATAACTTTCAGCCAGAGGTTAGCTTCTTACTGTATTTGTTCCTTGAACAAGATGCTTTTTGCCTGCGTCCTGTTTCCAGTATTGCAATACAAATAGTAACTACTTGTTTCAATTACTGGAGTCCTTCAAAGTTACTATAGATTTGCTGAGAAATTTCAATTTATTACTAAAGTCTTCAATTTACTCTTTTTGAATTGTTATTTAAGTTTTCCTCAATCACTGCTTATTTTTTTCCTTTACACTGTTTAAGTGAGATGCTGGTTTAATAAATGAAGTTGCATTATTAGAAAAAGAATCTTTCCTTGCTCTTAGTTGCTCTCACTTTCAGCTGTCATAAACTTCAGATACAGACAAAATGTCCTCTAGAGGGAGACCTTGATGCTTTTATGTGCCAAAATGCTGGTCACCTTGTTCCAGTTAAGCTCTTAATCACTTATCTTGGAAAGATCTGTTATGAGGTTCATAGGAACCTGTCTTCCACGTTTGTGCTTGGAATTTCATTACAGAATTTAGACCATAGCCAATAACATAACACTTCCGTAGGTTAAGTGAAGCATTCTTGTTTTAATTCAGATAGATCTAATTCTGAAGTTTGGTGAGTAATCTTTACAAATTCCAGAGTACTACTACTCCTGGAGTAGTATTTGGATGACCTGCATTTGTGGCATCAGTTCTGCAGATGCTTACATAGATACTGACTTTCATACCCCAGGTTCCAGTATAGATTGGGGAACGACCTCTTAGAGAGCAGTGTAGGGGAGAGGGACCTGGGGGTCCTGGTGGACAACAGGGTGACCATGAGCCGACACTGTGCCCTTGTGGCCAAGAAGGCCAATGGCATCCTGGGGTGTATTAGAAGGGGGGTGGTTAGTAGGTCGAGAGAGGTTCTCCTTCCCCTCTACTCAGCCCTGGTGAGACCTCATCTGGAATATTGTGTCCAGTTCTGGGCCCCTCAGTTTAAGAAGGACAGGGACCTGCTGGAGAGAGTCCAGCGCAGGGCAACTAAGATGATTAAGGGAGTGGAGCATCTCCCTTATGAGGAAAGACTGAGGGAGCTGGGTCTCTACAGTTTGGAGAAGAGGAGATTGAGGGGTGACCTTATTAGTGTATATAAATATATAAAGGGGGAGTGTCACGAGGATGGAGCCAGGCTCTTCTCAGTGGCAAACAATGAAAGGACAAGGGGAAATGGGTACAAATTGGAACACAAGAGGTTCCACTTAAACCTGAGAAGAAACTTCTTCTCAGTGAGGGTGACGGAACACTGGAACAGGCTGCCCAGGGAGGTTGTGGAATCTCCTTCTTTGGAGACATTCAAGACCCGCCTGGACACGTTCCTGTGTAACCTTATCTAGGTGTTCCTGCTCCGGCAGGGGGATTGGACTAGATGATCTTTTGAGGTCCCTTCCAATCTCTAACATACTGTGATACTGTGTGATTCTCATTTTAATCAAGATGCTTTTAAGGACAGTTTATATGTTGACCTAAACCAAGAATTTCAGCAGCTGATCTCAAAGTGGTGTGGGTTAAATCAGTTTAGCATAATGAGTGCTAGCAGCTGGGCAAGGAAACAAAGCAGAAATGAAGTGTCCCATTTATTCAATCCTAGCAACTGAAAGTTAGCAATACTTCTTGATTATAAACAGCAGAGGGTGAAAGATTATTTCTACAGACACATGAATTATTTGAATGTAATTAACCCTATAGTCCACATGCTTCGTCCAAATTATTAGCAGAAGCTTGGTGGGATTGTTATGGTGATGAGTTATTCAACGTGTTACATACACTGTCTCTGTATGAGATTTATAATTTACAGACACTTCGGAAAAATTTATTCCACTGTAAACAAGCATCTATGCTCTTATTTTTTGGTGAGTAAATGCAAACAGCAAATTCAGTGTAGTTTCTGGCATAATTCTGTCCTGTAAAAATAAAGGCTGTGTGGACCTTGCTGTGTGTACACATTTGGAAAATTTCCTCACACTGGAAGACTGCTGAATGGGTTGTAGAATCACAGGGGCAAAAACACATGTACTTTTTTAGTTGCCAGTTGAACCCCTTCATACTTCTTTCAAGTCATCTGCACTGTTAAGAAATAGATATTGTTAGACTGACTCCAAAATAGTTGTAGTATTTGTATTCTTTGAAATATACGCACCAAAACACTGCATAATCTTTTTTCTGTGTATGAGGGGAAGTGCTGCTGCAAATAAGGTAAAAGTGATTTGCAGTACTTATTTTGCAAGTTTGTTTTCCTTTTCATACTCATTTTTATTGTTTTATGGTATGCAAATGCATCTCTGCAGTGCATTAAAAATGTATGTAAAGTGCTTGGAGGCAAATGGTGGTGCATAATTGACTGTGCACATGTGTTATAATAGAGGAATAAATTCCATTAATAAAGAGTAATAAAAGTTATGTTTTTTTTCTGTGAAAAAGAGCATATTTATATCCTTACATTACTCATGTTGCAGACTAATAAATTTTGCTCTGAATAATTGATTCTTTATTTTAGATCATATTTTTGGAGGATTCCAGCACAGAGGTTTCTGGAGTCTGCTGTGTCTAGCCATAATGAGTTTGTCACTGGTTGCTTATGATGATTCAGACTCTGAGACAGAAACTGAAAACACTGAAGTCCCCAATACTTCGAGCAAACAAGCAAGCCAGCCAAGTTCTTCTGTGAATTGTGTTCAGTACTTTGCACCTGGTAGTTTGGGTACGAAATCTACATATGAAATGCAGCCTACTGAGAACATGGACTGTTCTGGCACAAGCACTGCTTGTGAAGATGCCTCTGAGCATTATGTACAGAATAACAATGCTGATTTGACATCTCCTTATTTTAAGAGCGCATACTCTGGCCATATTGCATTATGTATGTCCTACAAAAACTATGAACAAGCATCAAGCTCTTCAACAAACTCTGGAAATGTCGTTTCCCACAAGAGAATACACAAAGACAGTACTACTGCCATAAAGGGGATTAGACCGTATATCCCTAAAAGATTGCGTCAAGAAAATTCCAGTATGCCTGAGGAAAAAGAATGTGATCAGAGAGAAAACTCAGATTGTGATGTTAAGCTAGGCATATCAGGAGAGCAGACTTTGAGAAAGATCTCTGAATTAATTAAGCCATATTTGGGATCCAAATATAAGTTAACTGAAGTCCCCAAAAGCTTAATATTCATGTCTAAACACAGTGGCCCTGTCAATGAAATCCAGTGGTGTCCTGTACGGGAACAAAGTCACATGCTTCTCTCTGCTTCTATGGACAAAACAGTCAAGGTAATGTACAAGATATTTTGCGGATCAGTCATCAAACATTAAAGTACGCCATTAGATAATGATCTGGGAATAACATAGTTGCTTGTGTGTGTTTAACAGTTCCAATGTATTTGGAATCTGAGGAGCTGCTTTTAAGTACATTTGCAAGTTATGAACTTGCAGCCTGATCCTTCACTATACCTACAATTTTTTTTTTTCTTGTATTGGGCATGTCAGTGTTTTAGAGCTTAAGTTATATTTCTGCGGTGTCATTTCTTGTGATGTGTATTAATGTTTTCATTATTTCCTGCTTTAGTTTCATAATGGCCATAGGCACTGTGGTCTGACTACAGATTTTGCCTTCAGTCATTAAACAATTGACTGCCAATACTGGAATAATATTTTGAGGAACTTCACCTTTCTGTCAGGGCCTAAGGTCTGACAGTTCAGTTTTTCATCTGAACTGATGTTTTGCATCCCACAAAGCTGTCCCGTCATGATCTAAGGAGTCTTCCCACTTTAACGTTGTTTCAAGGGTTAATTGTTCAGTACTTGAAGTGAAATTTCCTTCTGGCTTTAGTGAATTTGGCTTCATTTTTTTGTGTATTAATTTATTCCAATGAGTCTTATTTTAACACTGTGTAATATAAAAGTATTTTATGTGTGTGTTTTCCCAGATACAGGGCTAATGCCACCTCTGGGTTCAAATGGTAGTGTGAAGTGGGTTTACACAGGTTTTAATAAGAGCGTACAGAAAATGTCCTTCTTGGTGGAAGGCATGCTTTATTGTATTTAACATAGCAGGTACAATTATTTTAAAATTTGACCCTTTAAAGTAAGCCTTAGTAAGTAAAGAGGCAAGAAGAACACCCATTGTATCAGCCTGCTTCTAACGCCTCAGGAGAGGTTTCAGAACTTTAAAACCTGATTTTAAATTCTGATTTCATGTAGGAAAAATACTGTTAAATTCTCTTTTAAAATTGAGATTGTTTGTTTCTTTTAAACTATTTTGCTGATTAGCTTGTAGTGGAGAAATGGAGTTTCATTTAGTTTGGCTTTTGTATGACTTTTCTTCTCTTAGAATTTTTTTTTCTCTTTCCCCAGTTTTGCCATGTGCTCACTTTTCATCTTTGAAGCAGTGATGTTCTTGATTGTTGGACAGAGTTTTTGCTTTTTTCTCCGAGTGTCTATTAAATCACTGATGCTTGCAGAGAAGTCCAGATTTATAGCATGAATCAAATTTACCCCTCTCAGTTGCCTTATCTTCTCTTCAGTTATGACTTCACTGTTTCTGTAGTCAGCATAACATATCACACCATCACACCAAAGCCTGAATACTTTGAACTGTGGTTAATTCCTCCTTCATGTTCTTTCTCAAGATTTTTTTACATCTTTCTCTTAAAGATTAAATGGAGGAAAAAAGTACTTTTGTTTTTCTTTGCAGGTATTCTTTGATATATTGAATAAGCTAAATCTTGCGTGTTACTTGAAGAACTGACTTAGGAAGACACTAAGATATGCAAAAAGTACTGATGGAGGGTTTTGGTAAATAGCAATTTAAATTAGGACTGTATGAAACTATGCACCTCTAACTTAAATATGTCTGAATTTGACTTTTTTGTTTTAAACTGTCACACAATATGCTTAACATTTGTTTACCACCCCAGAGGCTCATTTTACTGATAAGAGGAATTATGGATGTATTAAATTTGGTAAAACAATCTAAAATTAAAGTTGTTACTGCAATGTAAAATTATTAAAAAATGGAAGTAATAGCCTGTCTTGTATTCTAAGCAGAAAGAAAGATTACTGTTTGGAAGCATTCCTTAACATTAAAGTTGTTTTTTGAAGAAATTTAGTTGCTCTAGGTGCTCCAAACCATGGTAATTTAATATAAAAACTGGCAATACTTCAGAGCATGTGACTAAAACGTTAATAAAGTAATAATATGACTGTTACAAAGTATATGAAAACACACTTATGTATTTGGGAAGGTTACCTTTAGAGAAATGCCCATGAATGTTTCCTGCTGTTATTTCTTAATGAAATTGAAGACTGTAATGTTATGAGCAGTAGGATCTTCAATTTGCACCTTTACACAAGTATCTTTCAGGCCAGTAGAGGGCACGTTTAGATAAAGTATTGACTTGATGTTACCAAACTTAATTTCTTCAACTTTCTAGGGTCAAGAGTCCATAAATCTGTAATGACTGTGACAGCAGTAGTTTATCTTCTGAGAATTTTTTGGCTTCCCGCTGCTGCCTGAAGTTCTGCATTTTCTGATATAAGCATAAAGCAACCAATTGAAGATACAGATGCATTTTTTTTTTTTTCTGATCCTGTACTTTCCCACAGCTTACCTTTTTTGCTGTTTTCATCCAAAAACACCTGCTTAGAATTGCTAGTTTAAATCTGGGCACTGGAAGTTGGTCCTCTTTAATGGGAATTTACAGACACTCAAGATGTTTGCACTAGTTATTTTCAACATGTGATTCAGATAAAACTCAAAACAGAGTTAGAAGCCCAAAATCCCTGTATGATCAGAGAGAGTAGGCAATCCATGGCCGCAAAACTCTGTACTTCCAATTAGTCATGCGAATAGATGTGACTGAATGTTTTAATGTGTAAATATCTTGGATTTAACCCTTACATTCAACCTATGCATCAAGATATATATCTTGTGAATAGTTTAATATTAGTGGAGATTTCTCAGAACTAAGAGTTCTATCTAAGCATATCTGATTCAGTATGATAGTTTAAGTTGTGCTTAAATAAAAAGATCTTTAGTTGAATGCAATTTTTGTAGTATTTAGCCAGTTTTGCAGTTTTAAACCTTTTATCCATTCTTATGTGCTTATTTTCCTCTTGTACTATTTCAGTTAATTTTATATTTTTCGTTTAAAATATTTGCTCTTAATTTTTTTGTGTATGGCTGCGTTTTAAAAAACCCCAGTTATCAAGTGGTACAATTGAAAAAAAAGCCACACCAGCTCAGGGCTGTAATTCTCTAGTGTAATACTTCTACCAGCAGATGGGGCTCCTCAGCATTTTAAAAAGGGATGGTGACTAAACTGTGCCTCTAAAGACTGGGATGATTTAATATTTGCCTCCATGTTGTGTGCTGAAAGACCAAAATTGAAAGTTTATGCTTGTGTTGCAAAAAGTATAAGTTAGAGCTTCATATGGGAAGTGATACATATTGCAGATTAATTGCCCACAGCTCTTCAAATCCAGAGCATTAATACAAGAATATTCCATTAAGAATTTCATTCTTAATACAAGAAAATTCCATATTACATTTGTAAGGAATGGGGGAGGGAAGCTTAGATTTAGGCTTTGACAAGTCTTTTGCCCTCTATTTTCTTAGAATTCCAAGGAGGCGAAGCAGATAGTACTTCCAGTTCAGGTAGCTGGAGAAAGGGGCAAGAAACCTGATTCTTAGTGAAAGTACTGTTGAGAGCTCTTGCTGTGACAGTGCTCTTCACTACTGCATTTTAACTGTATTGTCAGTGGCTTATGTTTTTACTTTAAGTATATATTTTAAGGATTGTGAAACACAATTGATTAAATTTGTTTTCTTTAGATAACACTTCTTAGCTAGCTTCTGTTTGAATAGCTGCTGTAAATGAAAATTAGGGTGCTACTCTTGTTTTTGGTTTTGCCTACTTAAAACCCCAAAATAGTGTTTGTGATTTTAGTATTTCATCTAGTATTTTTTGCATAAATTTTGAGACTCAACACAATTACTACTATGTTTGCATAGTGTGGATAGTTAACGTTTTTGGTTTAGAACGCCAAATATAGAATCCAAAATCACAGGTTACTGTTGAATACAGCTAGGTAGCATGTCTCTTGCAAGACATGTTTACCAGTTGCAGAAACCACTATCTTGCATTTGTATTGTTAGTGTTTTTATTTGGGAGACCTTGTAATAACATAGCCACAGAGATGTAAACATTTTCACTAGTTACTGATACTGGACTTGGCTTTTTAGCAACTATTCATAACTTCAAGCCTCGCAAACCATTATTCCATATTTCCTCTTTTGTCTTAAAATTAGGGTAACATCTTTATATAATCTTTAAACTTTCATTTGTGTGTTCCTGATTTTCTGTTTAGAACATTACAGCAGATATTCTATTTGTTGCAAAGTATTTTTTTGTTGTTATTTTTTAATTTTGAGCACTTTCATCCTCCATTGATGAACAGGACCAAGGAAAGAAAATAATGTGATTCTTCAGTACACAAAATATGTATTAATAGCCCTTTAACGGGATGATTTATACACATTTTTGGAAGTTTGTCTAATGTATTTTTTCCCTATTTGACTAGTCGAACTGTATTTCCATTTAATCTATAAATATGTGGCTAAATCTGTACAAGGAAAGTAAAAGTCTTTAAAATTTGTTAATAATGTCAGCCTGTTGAACAGAGGTGTTGCCTACTTCTCATGACTAAGAACACAAGAACAACTGTACTGGTTCAGACAGACCAAGGCTCTGTGTAAGCCCAATAGTCAGTCTCTAGTAGGGTCCATAAGTTGCTGCCTGGAGAAAAAGCAAATCAAAGGTTTATATTGCCTTTAAGTCCTCTTCTGGTCTTGGCTTGTTTTCATATCAGGGGATTTCTGAGTTCCAAAGTCATTAATCTTTGTAGTTTGATATCTGAAGAGTTCTCTTTCAGATATTTCTGCAGTTTTATGAGACTTGGTGATCATTAGATCAAGAGTGGTATATTACCCATAATGGTGATATTTAATGATTTTGCTTCCAGTAATATATCAAGTACTATGATAAATACCATTTTTATTCATACTTTCAAAACTTTTTAGTATTTTGCAGTTGTGTGTTCATTAGGAGAAAGATAGCATAGTAATATATTCCAGGAATTACTTATTCTTGGTCTGTTGTATTGGACTGAAAGCAGTGGAACATGGTAACCTCCATTCATCCATATAGTATGTGTAGCACTGATGGTAGCAATTCAGATTTCGTAGTTACTGCTGTTACTCTGCATCGAGG